CACCAGCCGGCCCTGGCTCCGGCTCACCATCCGGCCGTGGCCGACAGCCCCAGCGCGGGGGCCGGCCGCTCTATCGCGGAGGCCAGCACTGCATCGCCGCCGCCCATCCATCACGCAAAGATGCCGCCTAATGGCGAGAAACTTTTGAACACGGCACGTCATCCATCAGAGGGGCGGCCCAGCGCTGACGGCCGGCCGGGCCGGCCGGCCCCCGGTCGGGCCGGGCCGGCGGCCCGAGCTTGCCCCGCTGGCGGGCGCGCCGCAGCGAGCCGCCGCCGCCGCCCCGCCGAGTCAATTACGGCGGCGGACAACAGGCTGATGCAGCGGCGGCGCAGTCAGTGACACCGGCGGACAGAGAGGCGCGACAGTGGCAGGACAGCGCCAACGTCAGCGGCGCATAACGGGCCGTGGCAGCGGCGGCGCAGTCAGTGACACCGGCGGACAGAGGGGCGCGACAGTGGCAGGACAGCGCCAACGTCAGCGACGCACAACGGGCCATGGCAGCGGCGGCACGGTCACTTAGGGCGGAGGACAGCAGGCGGGCCAGTGACGTGGCGGAGTGGCGTGACAGCGGGGCGGCAGAGTCGGCCCCAGGAGCGGACACACACGCGGGCACAGCACTGGGACAGACTTCATCACAGGAGCGGACAGGAGGCGGGGACAGGGTGAACTCGGGCGCGCGAACGCCCGTCCCGATGCTGCAGAGGTCGGGTCGCATGCCGGTGGCCGCAGGCACGGCGCTTGACTCGGTCCATCTACCGCCGTCGATTCCGTGTGGGCGGCAGGCCACTCCAGCCGATAGCCCGGCATCTGCGCCGAAACGACACGCCATCGCGCCGAGCGGAGCCGCATCTGGGCGCCGCGGGCGGCCGCGCGCGCCGGGGCCGGGGTCGGGCGGCGCCTGATCGACACGGGCGCGGGCGGCGGCGGCGGCGGCGGCGGCGGCGGCGGCGGCGGCGGGATCGCCGCCCGATCGCGGCCGCCGATCACCGCAACGCTCGGCCGTCGCAGAGGCGGCCCATTGATCGCCGGCCGGCTCTATAGCTCACGATGAGCGCCCGTCAGTCGCACACAAGCGGCCGCTAACGACGCCCCGACACCCGGGCCCTGGCCGCCCGACGCCCGGGCGGAAAATACAGCCTCTGCCGTCGGCGTCAGCGTCGACTGGCTGACGCCGATGAGCGCCTACTGTTTGCCGGGAGTCGCGCTTCCGCCGCCCTCCGACGCCACCAATTCATCCGAGTTCCGAACAACACGATCGGTAAGTGGCCGTCGCCGGCGCGAGGAGCGCGCTCGTCAGCGACGGTGAGTCGCGACGTCCGCGAACGGGGCTCCACCTAACGCCGAGGGATTTCGCCGGATGGCGCCCTCGAAGCACTAATGAGCTCTCGTCAGGCCAGATATGAGCTCACGTCAACGGTCGGCTTAAAGTTGGCCGCCGCCAGCGACCGACGGGAGGCGCAGGGTCCACCCGGTCTGCGACAGTCACAGCTCACCAGATCAGCCGGTCATAACGAGATGTCGGCGCAGGCAAAACGCTAACGACGCAATCAACGAGCCTCGAACCCATCCAGCAGCTTTGTGCATAACAGCAACTATCAAAGTCGCACGAGGAAACAGATTATAGTTCAAAAATTGTACCATGTTACCAGCAATGTTACGCGCAACTTTAAACTGACAATTTCCTAGGCCCAAGACAGCAAATATTTGCATGGGTTCCGAGAAATAAGAGGGCATATTACTTGTTCAAATACCCATAGTTAAGCAAACAAACACAGATCCGTAAAAAGAAAGACGTCGGTCTCGGACCGGCAGCGTGAATTGTCATGCAGGAAATGCTGAATAAAGCGACAACGGTTTATTTGTCTATTTCACCAAAAGTTTACGGCGTAAATTTCCGACCATGTCGATACAGCAAAATGTGTGCTGTCCGATGGCATGCGATGCCATTTCGGAGCAGATATGTGTTGACAGCGATCGGCTGGGAAAGGGAATTTCAAACCCTAAACAACGGAACCAATACGGTATTTGAAACTCACCAGGTTAACACGACAGATGGCATCTCAAGGCGCGCGTATCCCATCTGGTACTGCATTGCCAATTGTCCTGTTAAAACAAATCGGATACCCTCGGCAACGTGGATCTTTCTGGCATATAAACACAGGCCGGACAAACTCACTACGTTGCACGTTATTCAGCGACATGAATGGACGAGTGCGTCACTTCGTATGCAACGTAGATCCCGAAATAGGGTGCGGGACCCTTGTAAGCATGAACGGCCTTGATTGAGGAGCTCTAATCACGATGGAATCTCATCGTTTCACCCGCTCGTAACGGCAAACGGAAGCTCTTAAATGGCTGACGGTCAGCTTTCATCCGAGGCAGCAGTTAATCAGGTAAACAATCGCTGTTGGCAGAGTGAGATCGGGCCGCCCCCAGCCGTTCCCATCCACCCGACAAGATGGCAACGACGAGGTGGCAGGCGGCCCACGCCCACGCTCCATCCCGGGCCCAAGCCTGCCGACTCCCCGTCCCCAGCCAGCTGGTACCACGCCGCCATGCCGGCCGCATCAGACGTGCGGATTCACGGCCGGAGCAAGCTCTCTCGGCCAGTGAGGAGGGCACCGGCGGGCCTGGTGGGAAGGAGGCCCGGCCGCCGCCTGGGGGGGGGGGGGGGCAGGGGCCGGGAGTCCCTCCGGCGGCACATCTGCGGCGGAAACGACACCGCTGATGGCCCAAGCCGCACACTTATCCTCGCCGAATGGCTCATAAGGCGGACCTGGCTGTCAGCGGCGAGAAAGGCTAATCGCCAGCAGGAAAGATCCCGGCGTGCTTGAGGGCCGTAGGAGGCCCATTCAGCTTCAACTGGTTTAGTCAGAGCTACCGCCAGGCATTGTGCCTAGACATGAACGCGTATCACGTCTGAGAACGCGATCGGTCTTCAGGCATTCTGAGGTTGAGATCAGGTGCACGGCATACATCGAAGCGCCCTGTGGAGGGTCATAGGCTGTTTACTGCGCGTCTTCCCAGCGGCCTGCGGATTATTTATCGTGCGAGCGTCAGCCCGATAGTGAAATCAATACCAAGGCGTCCGATCTCAATAATACGGGCCGTTCCCATCTTGCCGGCGCCGAATCAATGAATCGCTACCATTAAAATTGAGTTAATCGTTGGCGCGATATGAGTTGGCGCTGATGAAGAAATGAGCGCCCCCTGTACGTAAAGAAGCGCCGGCGCGCCCCCACGGCTGAACGACGGCCGCGCGCCGTCCGACCCGCACCGGTCACGATTATGAGAAGCACCAGCGTAGACGCCGCGTGCTTCGAGAGCAGTGAGCCGGCTCCCGCGACCGGCCTCGGTTCTCAGCTGCAGCCGACGCTTACGCTGTGCGAAGTTACCTCCTGATCCGCCAGCTGGCCCAGTGGTGACCTCTGCCAGGGCTCAGGCCCGGAGGAGTGGCCGGGCTGGGACGCGGCCAGCTCTGACACACCACACCGCCAGCTGTTCCCCGGCGGTGACCTCTGCCAGGGCTCAGCCCGGGGCAGTGGCCTGGGCTGGGACGCGGCCAGCTCTGACCAACCCACACCGCCAGCTTGTCCCGGCGGTGACCTCTGCCAGGGCTCAGCCCGGGGGCAGTGGCCGGGCTGGGACACTGGGCCAGCTCTGACCACACCACACCGCCAGCTGTCTCCGCGGCGATCTCCATTCATGAGGCTGTTTCAATTACTGATATAGTGGCAAGAGACAATGCAACAATCACCTTCACCAGTTTTGACCTGACATGACCCATCACAGGTCATGTCTCGATGTTCACAGGTGCTAGTCCAACAGCATTTAGAGAGCTTTCAAGTACGCCCTCTGCATCGTCGCAGCATGTTTAGTTCTTGAGACAACAGGAACGGTCTACAATATGCTGATGTTAACCTTTTGGACCTGGTTTGGTCCATCGAAGGTCAGCATTAACCATTGTTCAGACAAGCCTATCTAATGCAGTTTGACAAGGAGCTCTTCAATGCCGTTTCCGCGTGGCTCAAGCTCGCTTAAATCTTGAGATCATCGGGTGGGTTCTCAGCCCCCTTTGTCGTAGGGCGTGACGTAGGTGAAACTCCCGCGGGGCAAGGGTTATTCTAAGCTCCAGCACTTCCCATACGTTCACAGCCCATTCCTACAGCAAAATGCCTCACGCATGTTCCTAAGTGTGCATATATCTACATTTGCATGGAAGCTGGTTTCACAAACATCATGCGGATAGTCAGGAATTATGTGAACATGGATTCCGCTGCTGGCTGATCAATGGGTGGTGGCATCAAAAAAAAGAAAGAAAAAACATGGCGCGCCACCAGCTGTAGTGAAAATTGGGGGTTCACTGCACGCTTGGGTAACTCTTTGATCGGTTACAGGACAAAAAATGCATGACCGCCAGAACGAAATAATCAAATGAGTTTGCCAAAGGCAACGTCCAAAAGTGCCCCATTTCTGACTGTGTAGCGTGGTGCCTAGAAAGTGGCCCTTGGAGTGGGGTGTGGCCACACCGCTTGATGGCTGCCTGTCCAATAATCGGGGCTGGTGGCCTCCACACGTCCCGCAGCGAGGAGTGGCGTCAGCCAGCTGCGGGCGCCGCCAGCTGTCAGACGCGGACCACACTGCTGTCCTGAACCAACCGAAGCCAATGTCGGGCCAGCAGCTCGGACGTCATGTTCGGAATCGATCCCATCCGCCGCGAGCCGACCAGCGGTCCGTGCCGCTCAGCCGCCCTACCTGGCAGGCGCCGCGAGCCGACCAGCGGTCCGCGCCGCTCAGCCGCCTTACCTGGCAGCTGCGCGAAGTGGATCTCCCGCAGCGCCAGAAACTCGTCCTCGGGCGCGATGTCGGGCGCGCCGAAGACGTCCCCGGCCGGCCACACCTCCCTGCAACAGCCAAACCCAGCGGCGACGCGTCAGGGCGGCGGCATCGGCCCATCATCGCTCCGTGCCGACTTCGCTTCCGTCCGCCCCTCGCCTGGCACACACTGAGCGCCGGTGCGGCCCGCCTGCCTGCGCACACACGTTGCAGGACGCGCCTCGCTGACAGCGGCTGCACCACCACGTTCCATCCTATCGCTCAAGAGGCTGGAGTGCCGGCAATCCCCCCTCGCCATTCTCCCGTTATACCCTTGACGCCCTTTCCTTCTAAGCTGATTGAATCAGTTCAACTTCCCATCAACAGCACCCGCCGACTGTGGGGAAGAGACAGCAAGCACTCAAGAATAAAATGAATCGAAGGACGGGCGCAACATGCGAAAGACGAGGGAAACAAAGCGCGCAGGGCTGAAAGTTCCGATAATAAATGTCGCCGATGCCAGCTCGCGTTGGTCGATTTACGGAAACTCTAAAATCAGCCATCTCGCACACACCGCTGCATCGATCCAAAGCATCAGACCTCGCGGTTCCGATGCATTGGCCGCGGACAGTGCGTGCCAATTTGAGGCGCCGTCCGGATCAAGACCTGGCGCCAGCCCACACACGCGACGTCAGGGGGCAGAGTTCAGAGAAACGGCGGCGGGGGAGGGGGGGGGGGGCAGTGGCGCAGAGAACGGGTCAGTCACAGCGGCGGGGCAGTGGCGGCAGGGACGGCCAGCCACAGCGGCAGGCAGTGGCGCAGGGACGGTCAGCCACAGCGGGCTGGCAGTGGCGCAGGGACGGGTCAGCCGCAGCGGCGGGCAGTGGCGCAGGGACGTAGCACCGATGCCCGTCGCCCCTCACCCCGCTCGGCGCGAATAATGGTCTCATCTGGACCGAATGTTCTGTCATTGCCGCCGATTGGCGCGCCAGTCACCTTAATCAATCAGAGGGTCTCCGCGCCAGTCAGTGTTGGCCGACCGACACGACGGCCCGCTGGCCAATGACTGTCATCGCGGCCAGATATTGCGGATCAAGTTCGGCGAACGGCCGCCAGCCGCACGCCAGGCCGCTTGTTGCCGTAAGTGCTCGCGCGGGGCGGCGGCCTGCGTCGGCGGAATTTTCCCGGGCACGCTCGGAAGATGAGGGCCGACAGCGCAAAAATGAAATTAACCTACATCATAAAGGGATTAAGTTCCGCAAACTTCCACGCCCTTTATAATTGCTTCCACAGTTTGGTAACGGAGAGCCGGGGATCAGCTGTAGACGGGGGGCCCTTATTAGGCATCCGACGAGCGTTGGAGCACCATGTGACGATCAGACACCTCCAGTACACCTCATTTACATTGCACTTCCCCATTACGAAGGATGTGATTTACCACCGTTTCAAGTATTTGAAGGTTTCTTAAAGCTGGGGGACACCGGTGGATGACCACAGTCAAGCATTAGTCCGCTGACAATATAAACGCCTCCATTTCAGTATGCGTCGGTATCCCGTGAACTACGCACGTACGTCAGCTGTGGCGTCAAAGAACATTACCCAACTGCCAAAAGAGATTAAAGTCAAACTGATTGTCAAAGAAAAGAACTCAATCGAAACACACACTCTTCACGCCACTTAAATATTTGAGGAGAGCAGCGGCAGGAGTGGCCAAGATCGTCGGGCCGCTCATGCCCGCTCCGACATCACGGGCAATATGGGACCCAGTCAGTAGCGCCCCTCCCCTCCCCGGCAGATGGCGCAGGGGCAGCCACACCTCAGCACGGGCCGGCCACGGCAATCAACCGCCGAATACCGGCCATCAGCGGCCGGAACAGGGCCATCCGGCCGAGACGAGCCGAGCCGAGGCAGACGGTCCGAGCGCTGGCCGGCGGACGAACCGCAGCACTGGCCGGCGGACGAACCGACCCTGCCCGGCGGACGGACTGGGCCTTGTCCGACAAACAGACCGGGCCCTGTCCGGCGGACAGACCGGGCAAAGGCCAGCAGACAGAACGGGCCCTGTCCGGCAGACAGAACCGGCCCTGCCCGGCATACAGACCGGGCCCTGTCCGGCATATAGAACGCGTCCTGTCCGGCATACAGACTGGGCCCCGTCAGGCACATAGGTCGGGGCCCTGTCTGGCGCAGACCGGGCCCTGTCCGGCATACAAACTGGGCCTTTTCCAGCGCAGACCGGGCCCTGTCCGGCATCGATATCAGGCCCTGACCGGCACACAGACCGACCCTGTCCGGCAGACGGACCGGGGCCTGTCCAGCATACAGACCGGGCCCTGACCGGCACACAGACCGACCCTGTCCGGCAGACGGACCGGGGCCTGTCCAGCATACAGACCGGACCCTGTCCAGTATACAGACTAGGCCCTGTCAGGCACACAGGCCGGACGCTGTCCAGCACACAGACCGGACCCTGTCCGGCAGACAGACCAGGCCCTGTCCAGCACACAGACCGGACCCTGTCCGGCAGACAGACCAGGCCCTGTCCGGCAGACGGAGCAGGCCCTGACTGAGTGACGGCCGGCCGACAGTGCAGGTCGGGCTCGCAGCGCCGGTGCAGCCGATTTCCAATTACAGCGCGGCCGGCGGTTTATTAGCGGTGGCGCGGGTCGCCCACCGAGCGGCGGCGGCCGCCGCACGCGCCGCAAACTGCCGCCGGCCGCCGTGCCCGCTCATGGAGCCGACACAAATGGCCGAGTTCGGCCGCGGCCGGCGGCACGTGGTCCCCGCATGGTACACCTTATGTGAATGGCATACGACACGCACCACGATCGGGACGGCAGGTGCGCGTGAAGACCGCTCTGGCCGGACGAAACATCAGACGCGCAACAAATGTGGCATCGTAATTTGCGTTGTCGACGACACAGGACACACCGCGTAACACACAAAGACGGCCATGCATGGGGATGTGTTCAGAGGGAGGGGGGGGGGGGGGGGGTCCTCTCACACTGTCATCCCCGAGGGAGCCGCGCCGGACGGACGTGACTTAATGGTCGGCGTCATTAGGTCGGCTCCTTCATTAGCCGCCGCGGCCGCCGGACACGCTCGGACGCCGGCAGCGGCGCCGCCGCTGATCAGGCCGACCCGTGCCGGCAGCCCGGCACGAGCGGGAGCCGGACGCGGTCCGTCCGCGGCGCCGCCCGGCGGTCCTTAGTGCGGCGGCCCCGCGGGAGTCATCTGTCTGTGGGGACGTTATCTCTCTCACCTGGCTGTGGGACGTTATCTCTCTCATCTGGCTGTGGGACGTTATCCCTCTCACCTAGCTGTGGGACGTTATCTCTCTCATCTGGCTGTGGGACGTTATCCCTCTCACCTGGCTGTGGGACGTTATCTCTCTCATCTGGCTGTGGGACGTTATCTCTCTCACCTGGCTGTGGGACGTTACCTCTCTCATCTGGCTGTGGGACGTTATCTCTCTCTCACCTGGCGGCCCTGATCAATGCCAGGGCTCCGGTCGGCTGGCCGGCCCGCAGCAGGTCCTGAATGCGCAGCATGGCCTCCGTCCTGCGGCAGGGCGACCACCGGTCAGGCCGACCACCGGGCGCCGCGCCACCTAGCGGCCGCAAAGCACAACAGCGGCCGAGGCTGACGCTCGGCTTGTTTGGGCCTCGCGTCGAAATTAGTTGGTTTAGTAATTATGGTGGGCGCCCAGTTTGCAATACCAGGAAGACATCATTACAGCGTGAGTGTTGACAGTCACATCTACAATTGCCACGGCATGTAAAGTACAGACAGGAACAGATCAGCATCCAGTCTTCCCTTCACGCCACGCGCGAGCTCGCCAACAATATCACACTATGTCCGTTGTGACGAACTGTGTCCACGAGGATTTAATATAACTGGGTTCGTAAGCGTGAATGTCATTGTGGTGTCCTTCACTGTGAACTTAATTTAAAGTTTGCGAAGGGGTATATGGACGCAAATCCTGCGCTATTTCTAGGACGGGCTAATTAATGGGCCGGAACCTCTGGACACTGGCGGTGAAGGCACCATCAAACACAACACACCGCCATAACAACGACCCGACCGTACGTGATAGCTCTCCAACGTAAGAAGTTAATGTTCCATTAAGGCTTGGAATTCAGCTGCTAATTACGACGCCTGAACCTAAACGTAATACGGCGACTAAGCCGACTTAGCTAAGCCATTGGAAACGTTCAAATAAACAGCACACTTCATAACAACGTCGGTTTACTTACTGACAAAACTAATTGCTTTAGCTTTTGGAACTAAATCAGAGAACCGGTCTTAGAATCCGCAACTTCTGTGATGACACAAGCAATTTTATTTCCGGTTGTGTTGCACTTAAGCAGCAAGTGAAAGAAAATAAGAGAACGTAACGACGGTTAAGTACACCTTCGTCGTATTATGTTGATGAGCGGCACTGGGCTTGTACGCATCAAGTCATGATTTGAGCCTAATCGAGGACTGGGACGCCGTGGAGTCTGTGTAACCTTTATTTTACACATATTGGGCGGCGCAATAGTCTGCCATTTCACACAACTCGCGGCAGCTGTCCAAAGCCCTCACATGAAACCGCGTCCAGACCTAGCGGGACAAACAAACCCCTCTCCCTCCACCCACTCCAACGCCCGCAACACGTCCAGCCTGTCATCGTACCTCAACTCGCACCAACAAACAACCCCCCCCCCCCCCCCGGCCCTCGGACGGCCAGTCTCCCCAGCTCACGACATTGTCTGCCCCCCCCCCCCCCTCCTCCGAGCCCACACCATCGACGCTCCTCCTCTCCACCTCCTCCTCCTCCGAGGGCCCGAGCCGAGAGGCAAAGGCTCACCCCCGCCCGCCGGAGTCCCGCTGTCAGCCGCGCGTCGCGTCGCTGAGCATGACAGAGCGTGTCCAGGCCGCCACCGTGGCCAGCTAAGTCCTCCTCCTCCTCCTCTGAGCCGAGCCGAGAGGCGGCGGCTCAACCCCGCCCGCCGGAGCCCGGCCGGCAGCCGGGCGTCGTGTCGCTGAGCATGACAGAGCGCGTCCTGGCCCCCACCGTGGCCGGCTAAATCTCCAGAAGCCGGCACCGGTCCTGGGAGGCCGGCGGCGGCGCGGATCCACGGGCTATCGACGGAGGAAATCGCCTCTGAGCCTACCCTGCCGAGCGGAAGCCGGCGGATGTCCGCCGGTTGGGTCGGGAAGGGAGGGGGGGGGGGGGGCGCAGTGTCGTCACGGGTCGGGACATTCCTCCAGAGGAGATTCGTTCGCCACCTGATGGTACTCGCGTGAGCATGCACATTTTCACAGGCAGGGGGAGCGTGTAGATTGTACGTCTCAGCGGGGTTGAGGGCAAAATGCAACACGGCGTCCCCGGGGAGGAGGGCTCACACGGTTTGGCCTCGTCCATGATGTGAGGGAACAGATACCAGGGGACTGCAGTGCTTCAGGCAGTACTGATACCCTGGCCCAGCACCGGTGCCCCGCTGTCTTCAGGCCCCACTCCTCTGTCGCAAACGATACATGCGACTCACCTAGAATTATGAGCATAGTTCCCAGTGCTATGAATTGAGCTCAAAGTTCGAATGCGGTTCTGTTGCGTAGTTATTTATTGTCAGGTAAAATCATTCAACGATTCGGGTCTGGAGCCAACTTCGGAAGTTATTCAGTCATTCGACCATATCAACAAGTTCAACTTGCTACGGAATTTAATTCGTCCCCGATACATCTGCTTGGGAACTGCTTCCTGGATGCATGATACAGCCGCCTGCAGTATCCCGCTATCTATTTGTGTACTAACGGTCTGGGTTCCCGCAGTCATGGGTCCATTTCAGGTGGATTTCCATTCCCATTTCCATATCAAATGGACTACTTCTGTCATACATCTACACCGCCTCTATGACATTCAGCAGGTATCTTTCAAGAAACGTGACTTTCCATGCATTCAAATGATGGAAGCAGCTTTGCCTCTCACGAGGGGCATGCGAGTTCAAACGAAAAAGTTAGGCAGCAGCCCGCTTTGGTTCGGTGTGAATTGGTCCAGAACATTAGATCCCATTGTTCAAACTGCAGTGCAATGTGTGCGGCGGTAACTGGGCTGTACACAGCAGCACTGAATGTACTGCATGACTACATGCAGCAGTACGCGAGCTGAACTGCCCGCAATGATGAAACTACTCGCGAACCCTCCCAACCCGTCAGAGAACTGGCATATTGATCACGGCCATAATTGCACGTTCTGATAAACAGCTCGGCCCCAGCTCGTCACCTGCAGCTGGAGTATCCAGCTGGCGGTTATAGGAATACCCATCCGAACATCCCGTCCTGGCCCCCATTGAACAGCGCGGGATACTTAGTGATCACTGATTAACAGCTCAGCCCTAGCACGTGAGCTTCGGCCAGAGTATCCACCTGGCGGTTATAGGAATACCCATCCGAACCTCCCTTCCTGGCTCCTCTTGAACAGCGCGGGACACTTGGTGATCACTGACTAACAGCTCAGCCCTAGCACGTGAGCTTCGGCCCGAGTGCCCAGCTGGCGGTGACAGGAATACCCATCTGAGCCTCCCGGCCTGGCCCTTCTTGAACAGCACGGCGCACCAGCTGATCACCGGCATTTTCTACAGCGCATTGATGGGCACTAAGCTGCGACCACATTGCACCTCCTGCCGCCGTATTGTGGGACCGGGCCCGAGCGCCGACGGCCCAGTCCAGCGTTGGTACAGCTGTTCGGCCCGAGGTCAAAGGGCGTTGCGCTGTCGCCGCTTGGCCGACACCCACATCCACGGCCTCCTCTGGCACTGCAGACCCCAACCGCTGGGAGCAGTGCACCTCTCCCAGCGTTGGACTGGACACTGCCCGCATGGTCAGGGAGCTGGTGTGGGCGCTGGGCACTGCCCGCATGATCGGTGAGACGGCGTGCCCTTCCCTCCCGTTCCCCCCCCCCCCCGCTCTCGCTGTTTGGAGAGGGGTGGTGGGCTCTTTCTCGAAGACTTGAAGCCCCACCTGATGTGATGTCATGGCTGTACCGCAGAGAGGTACAAGCTCCCGGGTGTCCTCCCCACTCAAGGGACGTGCCGCCGGCACCCCCTTACATACCCAAACACCCACATGGGGTGCAGTGGGCGGCTACTTGGGCGGACGCCCACTTCCACCTGGAGCACCCCGAACTGCCCCGCGAGGCGTGATTTAAGGGAAATATAAGTGCACTGTCTGCGAGAAGTAAATCGAACCCCCTTGGAATGGAGACATCGCACAGCATAAGATCACGTGATTCAATCATCCCGTAACCGAAAGATTTCATTTTGCAGTCCACACAGCATCCGACCATTTTGCATCCGAGAAATGCAGCAATTCAGTTCGGCGCGGAATGCCTGCGATTTCAAATGGCACGACATTCGGCATTCAGATATTCGGATCAAAGGCCAGATGGAAGCCCTGCTACTTTTGACACTCAGCTGCCCGAGAAGGGCCTTGCTCTGTGCGCGGAGGGATGAGACCTCTGCCTCAATGGCGCGCAACACCCACAGACTGCATCTCCTGCCCGCCCCACAAGGGGGTGTAGGTTCTGGCGTGTCCTCCCCATCCTCGGGGACGTGCTCCTGTGACCGCCTCTCCCCCCCCCCCCCCCCCCCCCCGCCCACCAGCGTGCTGGACTCTCCACGTCGGGTGGGGCGGGCAGTTAGCTCGGCGGACGCCCAGCTCTGTGGGGGCCGGTGCTCTGACGCGCCGGCTAGCCGCCAAGACACGCGCTTCAAAGGAAGGGTAAGTGCGCCGTCAGCGAGGGGTTCATCAAACCGTCTTCGGATGAGGCCACCGCGCAGCAGAATGCTGCAATGTCCAACCGGGCGGTAACTGACAGATTTCATTTTACACTCCATAAACCCAACAATCGTTTCACATCCAATACATGCAGCAACCCAATCCGCCACAGAATGCCTGTGACTGCAAATATCTCGAACAGATATTCGGATCAAAGAGCAGAAGAAAATTGTGTGGCCTTCTACACTTGCAACGAGCCCCAGGAAGGCAATTTCAGCATGTTGTTTACCAGAGTGCATTCAAGAAATGGGAGTTGACAACACAGTGAGTGTGGGGGGGGGGGGGGGGGCAACAGGAAGGGGCGGGAGAAGAGCATTTGCCCCAGGTACCACACTCATGCACTATGGCTGGCGACCAGTCTGCACTGCCCTCACGCTAAACGAATACATGCTATCCTTTCAAGAGCACATCAAAATCTTCAGCCACGACGTGCAAAAAAGGGCAGAAGCCTTCTTGAGCAGACTGGTGCATGGTACAGCTGTGGCGAGCAACACCAGTTTCCCCACGCCCATATCCCCGACCTCTCAAATACCGCCACGCACGAGGTCACATCCGAAACGAGACACGGGGTAAATTGATGGCTGGCCAGATCAGTTGAGAGCGTTGATTACAAGCCGGTCGAGAGGCCGCACCCACAATATCGATAGCCGGCGGGATCATCCATTAGAGTGACAGCGTGCCATGGCGGAGCGGCGGCCGTGATTTTCCGATGGAGCTGGGCGGGGCCGGCCCGACCGACGCTCATCGTCGTGACCGACGAGCGCCGACGCCCTCCGCAGCCAGAGGCCGCCGAGCGCCGGCCGGGCCAAACCGGGACGCGCTCGGGCCGACGGCGGGCAACGCCAGGCAGTCCGCAGCCAGAGGCCGCCGAACGCCGGCCGGGCCAAACCGGGACGCGCTCGGGCCGACGGTGGGCAACGCCACGCAGAATAGGACAGGTACGTAGCCAGGAGTTCCGTCAGGGGGAGAGGAGTGGTAAATGTCAAATTGTCCGGGAACTCCTGCGACTTTGGATCGAGGTCCTGCATAATTGCGCGCTAGTTAGTGCAATCATGAAAGGGGGAAGGAGGCAAGGCCACGTGGTCCCTCTTGATCAAGTACTTGCGCCAGGAATTCGCCATGTTCAGCGGAAGCCCACCCCAGGCGTCATCAGAGGACGGCCAACGCCGGGCGTAAACAAAAGACGCTGTGGGCTCGACGCCCAAAATATCCAGCCTCGCCTGGGCGCATACAAACTACCACATGCCACAGCCCATACGGAGTGACCTTTCAAAGACGCCGCACAGCGTACTAAACACCCGGGCGCTCGGCTGGCGGGCGAGCACCGTCCGACGACGCGTCGGGACTGGAGCGTGGTCTGTGGGCGGCCCATGCCAGCTGAGCACGGGGTCACAAGTCCTCCCTCAGCCACCAGTCACTGGTGTATGGATGACGTACGAGCGGCAAGTAAAGACACGTCGAGATACTTGCCTGTCCTTTCTGCTGAAAGCACAATGCTGGAGCCTAGCACTCTGATACTCTCGAGCCTCCTCAGCGGCAGGTGGTGATTTTTTAACCTGCTTTCATGCGCTGCCAATATTCGGACATCTAGTGCCAAGCCTTCAGGGTCGACCTGTTCAGCTTTGCCCTCGTGAAAGGCAGGCTGGCTTAAGCTCCCGTTACTTAGGCCCCGCCCCCCCCCCCCCCCCCCATTTGCTTCCTCAGGGCGCGACCTGGGGCAGATCTCGCGCAGACATTTCTTTCTGGAGCAGCCGCGCACCCCATGATCGGCCCCCTCCCCCTGGAGGAGGGGGCATGGGGTAACGAATTCACCGGCGTGCCGGACTCTGAGATCGGCCTGACCCCTGGGTCCGACCGTGTGGCAGCCACCCGCTCGGGGTCCGGCTGCGGGGCAGCAGGCTCACCTCTGCTGCTCCAGCGGCACCTCGCTGGCAGCGTCGAACGGCAGCACGTCCTCGGGCAGCGGCCGGGCGCCCTGCAGCGCCGCCGACAGCTCGTCGCTGAGTCCGTCCCAGGTGAGCTCGGGGTCGGCCGGCGGCGGTCGAGACGCGCCGTCCGCCGCCCCGCCGCCTGCCGAGCGGGAGGGGACGTCAGCCAGTCAGCCGGCGGTTCGGCTCGGGGCGGGGGTCCGAGCGGAGCCACAGCTGGGATTATGGGGTAAGGGCTGCGGGCAGTGAAGGACGGCCGGTCCAGGTGTCGGGCCTGCTGCGCGTCCAGGAGCCTGCGATGGTGCGTAACTGGGGCTGAGAATTCAAAGCACTTTCTAGAGCTGCAGGAATTTGGATCCTCGGATAGGTGGTATCGGATTCGGATTCGGATTCGAAAATCAAATATATTTGAGTATTTGCATCGAAATGTTAAGTTGATATCATGCAATTAAAAGGAGGGTGGGCAACTCATTTCGGTACAGAGCCAACATTCACGTGGTGCATTCGGATTAGCTGCGGGAGATATGGACTCAGACGGCCTTTAATACACCTGATCACGGGTTTAAACGATAGTTTTCAGGATGCGGTGTGCTATTTGAGCATCTAAGATTCGAACACTCATTCAGTATCCGAATCCTTGCCTTTAGGAATCCAGGATTTGCAACATGCGAATCTAATCGAATCCTGCCAATCCCAATCCCAAGCCCTCGTCACGAGACCGTGACGTCAGCGCCCTGCCCCGCCGGTGAGGCCGGTCGCACGCGGCGCGCCAAATGGACGCGTCAGCTCCGGCGGCGCGCGGCGCCGACGACTCAAAGGGGAGTTCTGAACGAGACACGGCCGGAATCACCCGATGACGGTGAATGGGCCGTGCGGCGAGGACGCGCCGTCCGCAAAACTCGCCGGACATTCAAGCTCGCGATGTTTTGGAACATGGAAAACCGGCTCGGCAGTATGAACCAACGCCTGCAGGCATATTTTTAAAGGCTGGCGGCTTTACAAGAACACTTTATCATCAACCAGCTGGATTTCCTCCTCGCTACAGGGAACCACGCCCTCCAAAATCCCCTCTTTGTTGAAGCAGTCTGCAGTATGTCGAAAGGAAAGGATCGAACAAAACTAATGAAGCTTGAAACAGTCCATTAGATCGACAGTCCAGACGTATCGTTTCGTCTACTGTGACATGAGCTGTACTTCCCGAGCTCAATCTCCGAACCATGACATAACGAACGGCCCAGGCCTGAGTTCGCTGGACTATTGCTGAGTCAAATGACCATAAATATAACACGCCTGAATGGGAATCGAGCAGACACGCGACTGTGTTATGCCGTTACCGTCACTGCCGTCATGTCAGGTAGGTTCTCTCATGTTCACACATTTGCCGCATTCGAGGCGCAGAAAAATTTACACCACAGAAAATGTTCTGTTTCGTCACGTCTTAGCGCTTAAATCGTGTTTGAGAGACTGGCATTAAGCGTAAGCTCTACATATAAGACAGTGCCGTTGCCAGAAGTTTCGACACAAACCTTTACCTAAATCACACCCGGCTTGATTGCGCTACTATCGTTCTAAATCGCGCGAGGAGATTTTCCACAAAGCCCATCTTTCACAAGTGTCCACAAGTTGGTCGATTAGAAAACTGAAATGTCAGCGGCACAGTTGCAGTTCGGACGGGCCAATCAGAGCAGTTTCTCAGCGTCCAGCATCCGTCAAGTTAGCACGTCACAGCACCGTCGGCAGCGGAGCGAAGGTTAGACGATCGAGGAGCAGCGTACCTGGCCGCCGTCCGCGGCTCTTCTTCTTGGCCTTCCGCTTCTGCTTGACGACGATCCGCCCGCCGCCGGAGAACTTCTCCAGCAGCTTGATGAAGACGTGAGTGGTTTCCACCAGGTCAGTCAAAAACTTCCTGCACGGAGCGAAAGAAGTGAGATCCCCATGCATCTGTCTCATCTGGCTGCACAAAACGGCGGCAAATATGAAAATACATCACAAAAGCACTCATATAAGTAGCCAAACAGCAAAAATCTCCAGGTAAAACCCATCTGAACCTGCCTGGCATCTGGAAGGAATCCTGTCGTGGTGTTGAGGATAACTAATCAAAATCAATCATTTCAAGCAATAACTTTTGCATAAAATCAAGAGGAATAAAGTTAAATCGGAAATGATAAACGAAGGCAACGGCAGGGCCAAAATCCACCGTATTTCCGACAGAAAAAAAGGTTCAAAGTCGGTCTTTAAGCCCACTCAATCACGCTTAAGATTGAAAACCGCTTCTGGCGGATTGGCTCCGGTGCGGCCGCCGTAGCCGGGACGAGCAAATATGGAAACGTAATCGCTCCTTTGATGGCAGCGGCGGGCTGCCGGGTGCTGATCGCCTCAATTCTGTCACAATGCCGCGCCGTCTGGCAACTCCGACAAAAACACTGCTGATGATTTCTTTTCTCCCGAAGCACGGTTCCGCGCTAGCCGGGGACGTCTTGACGGCGCTTTCATCTGGAGCGACGCGAACAAATAAAACTTCCGTGAAGGGTACTAGAGGCCGGACCAAGAGCATGCCCGACTCTTGTCTTAGGTTCAGAGTTTGGGCCGTTGCCATAGCACGTTCTGGGAGTAAGAGTGGAGTAAACTGTTGACTAGACCCGCCATACATGAACAGCAGGGTGTTCAACTCGCGCCCCGCATTTAATCCCGTGAGGATGCGGCATCGCCCCCTCCCCCCCTCCCCCTCCCCTACCCTAAACTGTGGAGGGCCGCAGACACACAGTCAACTTTTCCACACAGCTGGGTTAACCGTGGAGGGTGAATGTGTCCACATTCCACGTTTTGGGACGAACCGCCAATGAAAAGTCTCGCGGTAACTAAACGGGTGTCATCGTGCCGATAACGACGATGAGACGACACAACTGATCAGAGCTGAAATAAGCCGGCTGGATGCAACCGCTCGTCGGAGATTTGTATAACTACCTTAAGGGGCTTTCGCGCAGCCAATTCAGCGCGGCCGCGTCTGTGTGCGACGCGAATGTGTTTTATAGAACAGGAGCCCGCCAAGATCTCCCACATTGAAACGGGAGATCACGGCCAGGTGGTGGGGAGCAGGCTAGTCGCATCACTGATATATGCTGAATGGTTAATGCAATGGCATAACCAAGATAGCCTGGCAAAGGTCAGCCTACTAAACTTGCAACGCGTTATTAGCGTCCAGACGGCGCAGATGCGGGGGAGTGGCGCCCCGAGCCGACGGCTGCGGCACTAATCAAACGGGGGCAATTTGCGGCCGGTTACCATGGCCAATCCTCCTCGGCCGCACAGTGCTGGCGACTCACAGTGGACCGCCGGCCGGTACAGCTCTCACACCACGGGAGTAGGGCCGGAGCGACCCGGCCGTGGGGCGGCCAATAGCTGTCGGGGCATCCTCAGACAGTCGGCCCATCCAGGCCGATTTGCATCAGACGGCGGCAATTTACCATTTATGGTGGGCGTCTAGGAAAGATCCATTTCAGCCGCTCCCAATACGGCCGCACAGCCGGCGAGGCTCTCTTCAGACCTGATAATGAACACTCCACGTCCGTCACGGCCGTTCAACACCTGACAGAGACGCCGCCGCAGGCGCGGCGGGCGGGCCACGCCGGTGGCGGAGCCGTGTCGTGCCGCGAGCGTCCACGGCCGGCGCGGCCGGTCGGGCCACGCGCAACGTGCGCGTCGCGCAAACAAGCGCCGGCTGCGCGGCTGACCTCCGTACGGCCGCACACTGTTGGGCGGCCGACCTCCGTGCGGCCGCGCCCTGTTGGGCGGCTAACCGCCGGACCGGACACATCCGGTCACTTGTTTAAGAGGCGGGCCGGCCGAGCAAGCGTGCGTGCAGCAGCCGGCTGCTTTACCGGCCGGCTGCAACTTAATCCAATCCGTAGAGATATTGCGCCGGCCCGGAGGATACGTAATTTACGCCTCCCATAAAAATACGGCGCCCGGCCGCCGATCGTGTTTTCCTAACGACCCGATCCAATTCGATGCAAGTTAGGCGCCGGGAACACAATTTATGGCGCTGATATTGGTGCTGGTGGCGCGTTATTAGCGCACGCACGGCAGTCGGTCGAGACTCCCGCGAAGCTCGGAGGAGGTGACACACGCACGCACCGCCCCAGCAGGTTCGACAGCGACGGCGCAAGCCCGGCTCAGCGCCACAGGCTCCGTCTCGGCTATGCAAAGCCCATAAGCCGGACAGGATGGAGCGCGTGACATTAGCCGAAAGTCTGCGAGACAGGGATACAGCACGAGCGTGCGCCTGCATATTCGTCACCAGCGCGGGAAAGCACCGTTCGCTGCTGCACGTAGCACAGCCGGTCGCATATGATGAGAACGGAACGGGATCACCCATCAGGTCAAATGGAGCTGGACAGACCCCGCGCGCGGTCACCGCCCACAATCCATGACAGACCCTCCCCGCACGTGTCCGGCCCGTGTATGCCGTCCACACGCACCTCGGAGTGCGAGCAGCTGCGGAAGCCGTAAACAAAGTCAAACTCCCCACCGCCGGCGCCGGCCCGGTTTAATTAATTAGCCCGGTGCCGAGTGGCGGCCGCCGGCGGTCGGCCGCCGGCGGTCGGCGCGGCGCGGCTCCGTACCGGCTCATCTTGACGGGGTTGTACTGGCAGAGCAGTACATACAGCAGCTCGCGGTACTCGGGCATGTAGAACAGGTTGGACTTAAGCACGCGAGACGCCTCGCGGCACGCGTCGTCGGCGCTCGCGTCCATGTGCTGGATGGTGAAGAGCAGCTCCTGCCGACGGGGTGGGGCGGGCGTCAGCTGGCGGCGCGCTCATCACGGGGGCTTCGCGGAGCAGACGGCGCTGGGGGTGGCGCGCGTCTGGCAACCGGGCGCGTCTGGCAACCAGGCGCGGGTTATGCCGGCGATCCGCACCGCGAAGCATGTGAAGGCCATCAGATGTGAGTAGTCCGGCTAGAGCGATTCTCGTACAATATGGGTCAAAAGGTCCACGATTCGAGATAGAGCTAACGACTAAAAGCTCGTGCGCCCGCACCTTCACTCCTCATCATAAATTAACGGCGTGAAGACCGAGCATTCCTAGCTTCGCGAGATCATCCGCGTACCTGGTAGGCTCTCAGAGCAAGATGGGCGCGCTTGGACCAAATCTTGATTTTGCGCTTTTCGGCCGTCATCATCTCCAGGTGCGACTCCAGCTGCGTCTGGATGTAGTGGAACATGGAGACGGACAGCGTCTCACTGCAGACGGGCACGGAGCCTGGGTGAGCCATCGGCCAGACGCACGAGTGTCGCCTGCACTGGCATTACTGCCCGCCTGGCGGAGCTAGAGTCCGGAGTAAACGCAATACTTACAGGAAGGCTCAAGTCCCAGCATACTTCTCTTTATTCCCCCCCCCCCCCCCCCCGTCTACGAGATGAGCTTCAGGCGTGGTACAATGGGATACAACAATGACCAAGTTGCGGAGTAGCTAGTATTTGATGAGTATGACTTTTCGGTAATCATTTCTCGACTAAAACTACCTGGAACCCAACTGCGTTATAGGCAACAATAAAAACGGCGTGCTGACAGCACGGGGGAGGTAATATTTAGGCATGATTGCGGGACACCGAAATATCCTGAAGCATTTGCATTGCAAGCTATCCCAAAAACATGTGCCAGCCATTTCCACTATCAAATGCTGCAATAACTTGTCCACCAACGTTCGTAGCTGCAAGCAGCTCTCAGCAATCACTTTTATCTACAAACATCCCCTACTTCAAAACAACAGGTTGAGGCAGGGCATAATCATATGACCTATTGAAAACACCTTACCTCACTTTATGAATTTTCATGGTGAAAACAACCGACCTTCGATACACCAGGAGGCCCTGATGAAACGGAGGTCCCAAACAATCATCAGGATATATGGGAGAACACTCGTCGTTTCAAGGCGGTGTTAACAGCCATGAGCACTGTAGCGTGTCAGGCAGTGCTCCGAAACAAACTGCCTCATTTGGCACTTTGTCGGAGGCGTCGTCTCATAACTTCATGACCAAGACCACTATCCTAATCAACGTCTGATGACTTCGTAAGAGCTCATCATGAATCACCCCCAGAAAAAAAACAGGAGATCACGGCCCTTATCTCTAAGGTCGCAGATACATGAGTTCTTATGTTCACAATGATTGATTTTAATCGAACTTATTTAAAGAAAACAGCGTTCAAGGCTCTTCTTCCTTGTATCTTCTATTTTGTATCACGATACATCATATTGAACGCATGACGTCCTGATACGTTTTAGAATCTCAAGCATTTTGCGCAAGGCCTTGGTAACAAGGCTACGGTGCTGTTTCGGAATTGAGTCCAACTATCGGGCTTTAGGGAGACACCCGAAGCTAAGAGTCTGCCTCGATGCATTTGAATGAGTATTTTTACCGACAAATTTATCCAACACTATCCTGGTCGATATGTTCGGCGGGATTGGTACCGTACATGAACTTATTAGCTCTTCTATTCAAAGATTCGGGTGATTCAGGGCATGAAGTGGGCCGTCTACCTTCAGCTGAAATTCGCCAGTTGTAGAAGGGGCATCATTCAATCCGTTACAGGACATTCGAAAGAGGGCAGGAACACCAGACCACGCGGCACCCACCTGATTCTGTCCACGCGGAAGTGATGGTGTCGGTTGAACTCCATGAAGAACTTGACTGCCCACATGTAGTAGGACTCGTCGTGCGCCTGCGCCTTGGCTCTGGCCAGGTCATCCTGGAACAGGGTTGACCTGTTTGATCTAGTTGAACTATTTGGCAGCAGCCACGGGCAGCGTGCACCCCGCAAGACAGTGCTCCCGGCAGAACGTCCGGAATACTTTCGAACTGATCCCATTCCGTGATGGGCTGATTGCTGATGATGCAGTCAGTCTTCAGTGTTTGTTTCCTACGTCCAGCCTGCATGCTAACGAGTCCAAAAGGACATATATTGTGCCGTCGGGCCCCAAACTAAATTTCTCAATGCGCCATTTTGAACGTTCCAAAAATTCGTTCCAGAAGCACTTGCACGACTGGCGAGGGTATTCAACGCCGGCCTCATCCCTCAGTTCCCGCAATCAGATCTCCTAGCCAATCAGATTCTTCCCCGGGCATGTTGGTAGTTTGAATGGCTGTTTCCGCATCCATCTCAAATGCTGCGCGTTTCACCAAACTGTGCACATGGCGCAAGGCATTCACGAAATGGCATTTCCGCGTCGGGTATTTGGCACTCCGGCCGACTGCTGTCCACTGCCTGCCCGCACCTGGCCCGGCCGGGCGAAGGCCAACGGCTAAATGTTATCTCAGTAACACGCGACGGGCAGGGGACGCAAATGCCTCTAAAGCCTTATAGTAACGAGATGTGTGCGCGCATGGGCTGGCGCCGTCAAAGAATTCACGCTCCCACGGAGACATGGCTTCAGCGGTGCTTGTCCTTGTATATTTTACTTAGAACCGGTTACATAACTACCGAAACGTCAGCCGCAATAGCCATATAATCGTCTGAAGTTTTACTTCTCCGCTGGCTGGCAGTGTCTGCCCGCAAGCCGCTCCCTGCTTCCATACACCGTATACGTGAATCACCTGGTGCTTGCCTTCACCCACGCGACGTTCAACTTATCTCCCACGCCGATATCGAAAGCGGCTTCGAAGCCATCATTCTGAGCGCCGTCATCAGCCACTGCAGCATCCCGCACATAAGCGATCCTCCAGGTGCGGAGCTCCCGCTCCCCGCCGTCAGCCTGCGACGCTCTCCGCCCGGCCAGCCGTCGGCGGCGCGGGCGGGGGCGGCGGTCGGGCCGTCCCCGGCCGGCCGATCGCGGCCGTGTTTAATTCAGGAGGCGCCGAGTGGCGGGTTCCGGCGGGCGTCAGACACGGCCGAGGGCCGCCGCCGACGCTAACGCGCGGAGGATTCGGCTCCGATTGGAGCCCAACAGAGCGCCACCCGTCACGCTGATGGGTCGCGGAGCGCCGCCGGCCGTCCGGGGTTAATCGGCGCCGCCTCAGGGCGCCCGAGACGGGCGGCGGAGGCGGCGGCGGCGGCGCGGAGAAGCCTCCACGAACGCCGCGTCATCGACCGACTGTCGGGCGCCAACGCCGCTCCAGAATTTGTGCCTTGAAGTTTGAGGTCTGAGTTTTTCGCTGCGTGATGCGCTCAGCACACCAGCGAGGACAAAGTACGCCATCGCGTGGGTTGAGGCCAGGCGCCCCAATGCGGCACTAATTTGTTGATGTATATGCGTCTAAACGGATTGCGAAGACCGAGCGACCGCGGGTGGCGCATCGCCAATGCGCTGCCGAGCTGTATCAAGAGCAGTCTTAGCTTTTTACTCATAGCAGATGATGGCGCAGACGGCCAAGAACCATGCCAATCAGGCGATATGTTAACCAACACCGCTGCCCGATATTTCGCCAACTTCGGCGGCTTATGGTGCGTTTCTGTAAGACCCTGGCGATCTCACATCCCATGTGTTAGAACAACAATTCTAAAACAGGACGGCAGCCCTGTGCGTGATCTGTAGCTTCATATCGCTATTCCGCGGTGCGTCTTAAGGTCGATCAGCCAGGTTCGGTCAACCAAGGTCAAACCACATTTTTTGTCTTCGAAGCCCTTTATAATCCTCAGACTAAAGCCGACTCATTTTAGTGAAGGAATGCTACTATTTCAGGAATTATAGCTTGAAACTTCTCAGTTGGGTTAACGACCTCCAATATACCAGACGGTGCTAGTTAAACGACGTTCTAGAGTACGAGCACAGCTCGAAATATTGAGTACCGTAAATGCAATCGCAATATAGCCCTAAAACGCCGTTTAACCAGCACCTCCTGGTGTAATGAAATTCGCCAACTCATGATAAGAACTTTAAACACCTCATGCCGGAAAAACAGGAGCTGAAGGCCTTTTTTCTTATATTGAATGCCGCTACTTACCTTCAAGGGGCAATGGAAGGGCACCCGGGGTCATTTTAAGTTCGTCCATGAAAGTCAACTAGAATGATATCGTGTATGCGCAGTCCATACACCACGATGGCATGAGTGCACTGTGAATGGTCCAATAATACTATGGGTGGCATTCGACAACTGACTTGACGCGACACTGATCTTGAATAACGCCCGCATCGCCATACAGTTATTTCAATAATTTGATTTATATGTCAATCTGACGCCGATATCGATATCTGATATGGCATGGCCTTGATCCCGTTAGTCTTAGCGAAAGTCGAGATTCGTTGCTACTCTGCGCGCTCAGAACGATTGGATAAGCAGATCCAGTGCATACGGAACTCGGCACCCATTGCGGAGGGCCGATTTCCCACACTTTCGCCGGAAACCGTCTTGAAAACCAGAAACAGTTCAGCGACCCTAAATCTTTGAACAGATTGGAGATTAACGTAACGAACTAAAGGAAGCGAGGACAAACGGGAGCTCGCTGTGTGTACCGACTGCAGCCGACTGAAGCGCCAGGTGCAGAGACTGCCGGGATGTCCGAGGTCCTCGCCGTTGGGCAGTCACTGCTGGGCAACAGACGTGACGCTGTGTGATCAACCAAATCGAAGCGACCTGCGTGAACGCTGGTGCTCCGGACGAGTGACCGGGTAACAAACACGCGGATGTTTTGAACGCCTTCTCGGCTGCGTGATGTCGTCGGCCACTACAGAATCAGTGATGCAACAGTCGTTTTGCACCGCAGACTAGTTTGCTAAGGCCCGATATCATGCTGCGTCAGAATGGTAGGCCTCTGGAAGCGCACACGCGCTTTCAAATGACATTTAGATGCATAAGAACCAGAGTAAGTGTCCGCGTGGTGCGCTTAAATGGGTCGCACAATCATGGTTTTACACAGCATCCCGCATCAAACATATTCTACGGGACTCTTAAAACACAAACATGGTGTGTACGTCGAGGGAGAACACTCATTCCCGTGAATGTGTCATGACAAATTAGGAGGATCGTTAATTTTGTCCTCAATCCATGAGCTGATGAATTGAGGATGGATTTGATCAACAATGGAGCATGAATAGCAACGAACCAATGCAGGAACGCCTAAGCCTTAGACTATTACACGGAGGACGTAGACTTCGACGCATTTCAAAGAATGGCAAAAATATGAAAGTTCTAGCGATATCACCCAGATCGGCACGCCCCACACTGGCATCAAGCGTTGGTGCGAGCATTCGCGAAAGCATATTCGCGTCCAAGAACATCCGCATCGACTTGTCTTGATAACACGAAATATACTGGTTTCGATTCATGACACCAACATAGGTCACGATTATCTACCACTCACGCTGGTACGGGCCCTGGAAATTTACTGGCGGCAGCCATTCAGAGAGTTGGGAAAATGAACCCTTCCTAGGCAAGTCACGACCGCTGTGTAAATTAACTGCGGTCGGCACGGCCAGCGCTGTCAGGCAATGTATTTATGGCAGAAAGTTCAGAGTTGTAACAGGCGATGACACTTGCCAACGCCTTGGTCCCGCACATCCCCTTAGCCCATCCTCACAATTGCAGCGCTCTTGGATTGTTTTGATAAACTTCTGAGTGCTTCCGGCGCTGAGTGCCTCACTCGGAAGATCACACGACACCATATGCAAACCATAACCACCCCTTAAGTTTAATCCTGAGTTGCTTTGCATAACGAACAGCCATCCAGCGACGTTTACTTGCTCCCAGCACATACGGTTCACCACGCAATATTGAGGTACACGAAGGCAGAACCAAAGAAGGTTTAGCTGAAGTTGCGGGCATGGCAACCCAATCAATTGGCAAATCCGGCAGAGCAGCACGCGTGAAAACGGCAACATACAACTACACCAAGTAACTACCAGAACGAGCAATCTATCCACAGAATCCCAGCGCTCCCGGAGCATCAATAGCGAAGAACAATGCACGAACGCCTGAGCCGCGGCACAATGGTCCGCGCCGTCAGATCCGTCCTCCCGCCTCTGTGGACAGCCCTGCTGGCTGGTGTGGAGCAGAGCAGTCAGCCCAGACCATAAAACACGCGCCTCGTCCGGCGGCGGCGCGCGTGAAAGGCCACAAACGCGTCCGTTATCTGGGGCCGACAGCGTCGGCTGAGCGAGAGCGGCGCCGGCTGGGCCGCGCGCGCCTCGCGCTCCATCCCGGCGGTGGGGCGCGTCGTCCCACCTCGCCACCCGGTTCGGCGCCGGCCGATCGTTAGAGTGCTATTCAGGCGGCGGTCGGGTGGGAAATCCGGCCGTTGGCGGACGTCCGGCGGTCGATCCGGTCCCGGTGACCTGGCACCGCGGGGCTCCGGCGACCGACGCCCGGTCCGGCCCATCCCGGATACAGGCGCTCATCGGGCTACGGCTCCGCCAGCCTCGACCCAACCGCCACCGGCGGCGGGGCGGGACGACGCGTCGCTTCCCGCTACCACCCCACGGTGCGCGCGGGTGGGGCCGTACTACCGTGGCAGTCTGGGATCGTGCCCTCGGCCGGCGGCGGGACACGAGCGAACCCATCACGTCCGGTCCGACCGACCAGTCCTCCTAGGCAGCACCGGGCTTGACACAGTCCATCGGGGCTGCGGTGTATGTACGGAGCATGCTGCTTGTTCTCAGAACTGCGGCTCAAGATCGAATGTTATTACTTACCGAGGGCGAAGATTGACAATCTCTTGGAAATTCCAGTCAATGAAGACCACCACTCGAGTTCAGAAAGCGTCAGGAGATTGTCCAGTGCGCGTCACTTCAGACCACTCGACGCAAACCGACGATTACTTCGTAGAACATGGCAGGCCGCCCGCACCAGCCTCGCCGCAGCAGCATTTGTGAAGCCCCAAGATCACTTAGTGATGTCCACGTCAAGCAAAACCCTGGCGAAACTCGTCTCATCTCATCTCGAAGTCAATCAGGAGGGCACATTACCCTGATGTGACTTCGGCCCACCCGCCGCGGCGCTCACCCCGCCGTTCTGCCCGACCTCGTCGCACCGCCCGCTGGCACTCACCTTGACGTTGTACATGAGCTTGTTGTAGGCGCCGGTGAGCAGTTCGGCGCAAAACTGCTTGAGGAACAGCCGGATGGTGAGCATGGAGCGGCGCGTCGTCTCGCCGTCAGCCAGCGGCTGTCGGTTCTTCGGCGTTTTGCGCGGCACCTGCCGAGGCGGTCGGCGGTCAGCGGTCAGCAATCAGCGGTCAGCGGTCAGCGGTCAGCGGTCAGCGGTCAGCGGTCAGCGGCCAGCGGCCAGCGGCCAGCGGCCAGCTGTCAGCGGCCAGCGGCCAGCGGTCAGCGGTCAGCGGTCAGCGGTCAGCGGCCAGCGGCCAGCGGTCAGCGGTCAGCGGTCAGCGGTCAGCGGTCAGCGGTCAGCGGTCGGCGGCCAGCGGTCAGCGGCGAGCTGCCAGCGGCCAGCGGTCAGCGGTCAGCGGTCAGCGGTCAGCGGTCAGCGGTCAGCGGTCAGCGGTCAGCGGTCGGCGGTCGGCGGCCAGCGGTCAGCGGCGAGCAGCCAGCGGCCAGCGGTCAGCGGTCAGGGGTCAGCGGTCAGCGGTCAGCGGTCAGCGGTCAGCGGTCAGCGGTCAGCGGTCAGCGGTCAGCGGTCAGCGGTCAGCGGTCAGCGGTCAGCGGCCAGCCGGGATCGCAGCACCGACCGCGTCAGTCGGGAGCGCGAGCTCGGCGGGGAATCGGTCGCCAACGCGGGACCGGCCGGGACCTAGCCATGAACGGTTAGCCGTTAGTCGGGGAGGCGACGCCGGTCGGGAGTCGGTCTGAACACAGGCTCGGCCGTACCAATCATCGGCACAGCTGGGTGCCTTCAGTGGGGAGTTATTGAGGAGCATAAGCGATCTTCACCGGCTGGCGGCGGCCGTGGTCAGCCGGCCGGCGCCGTCGCCGCTCACCACGGAGGTCGGGTCGGGGCGGGGGCAGGTCGGCAGCAGAGGTGAAGTTCCGAACCGAAACGGCTCGAGTGCCACCGTCACCGCCGCAGGTCATGCCGCATCCGACACCCAGATCCCAGGCGACCGCGCCGCCCGGGCACAATCTCATCTGGCCCACACGCGTCGGCGTCGATGCGGCAGTCGAGGTGTGACCGATCGACGGGAGCGCTGTATGCCGCGCCGACAGCACTCAGTCACCGCCACGGCTGGCGCGGCACGCGCGCCTGCCGCGGTCCGCGGCAGCTCGCGTCCAGGCGCGCCCGCCCGGCCGACGGCGCCAGAGCCGGCGCGCCGGCCAACCGGCACCAACCTTCTCCTTGTCGAACGACAGCTCGTTGATTTGCGCCAGCGGGCGATGGTAGATGAGGTCGCGGTCGCTGATGGAGGTGATGTTCTTGACGGTGAACGTGCCGCCGAAGCGCGTGTGCCTGCGGCGGCGGGGCGCATGGCGTCACGGGGCGCGGAACTGCACTGGCCCGTGTCGGCGCGGGACGCCTGTGACCCGGTATGCCCCTTCCTCCCTCCCTGCCCCCAGTGGTCGGTGTCGGGTGGGTGGGGTAAGCACACGCTCAGCTATGTGCGGGTTGCATCCACGACACACAGAGCAGATAAGCGCCGCCAACGAGCACTGGACAGATAAAAACAAGGCGAATCTTACACTCGCAAACGCAACGGAGGTGCACATCGTGTAACACTCCGGGACGCTGGAATGTGACAGCTTTCGCCGTGGACTGCCACATCACCTGCATCACAAATGATTTTCGACACCAGCTGACTTGATTAAAATGCGCGACTTCATTTCGCAAGCGACAAAGAGGATAAGGCAGAATCGATGCTATTCATGATCGGATCACAGCACGCTCGACAGCCTCAGGTAAAAACAAATCGCGGAAAATGATCAGAAACTGCTGATGTCAACCGCACGGCCGCTACGGCCGCAATCGCTGTCCGACAGTATTACCGCACGCTGGCGAGCTTGCGCATCTGGTTCCGCTTGGCCTCCTGCTCCAACCGCCGGAGCTGCTCCAGCTCCTGGATGTCTTTCTCGCGCTCCTGGTGGCTCCTGGCGGCGCCAGAGCGCGCTAGCTGCTTGGCATCCTGCTCCCGCAGCATCAGCGACACCACCTGGCGGTCAGATCACGCATCTCAGCCTGCTGAAATCCCCACCACCGGTCTGTGACAAAAACAAGCCTCGTAAACGGCTCCACCTTCCCCAGTCGTTTTCCAGCCGTTTTCCAGCCGTTTTCCAGTCCATTTTTCCAGTTCCAGCCGTTTTCAGCACGCAGCACCCAAAGAGACATTGACATTCTTCGAGGCACCTCCGTAAATTTACCTCCAGGATGTGGATGCAGAGATGCTGTTCATCGTCCGACTGAGCGATGAATAGGATGATGTCGTCCAGACCAGCCAGGTGCATTCCCCAGAGCACCTGCGAGAACACAGCAGGCGCCAGTGTAACATCACACTCGCAGTGCACGCCCACTGCAGGGCTAATGCATAGGCAAACACAATTATGACCTACCTTGCTAATTACAGTAGTCAGCCTATAGAGCACCCAGGTTTCTTTTACAGCCTAGAAATGAACTCTTCTTGACCCTAACAACACTTTTCCTTTTGTTTGCCGTTTGCTCTTTTCGTCGCATCTCGCCAGCAAAGTTGTGGGTTCAAGATGTGCGAATACCGGAATAAATACTCGTTTTCCTGGGGCTTGCACACTAGGGCGTACAACCCTATTCGCTCCACCCCGAAGCAAAGCCTTGCGACGGGACGAGAATCTTGCAAACCTTGCGAAGCGACGAGAATGCGCAAAAGTTTAGAATGTTTACAGGACCATTGTATGCAGCTCATCAAAAGCAGAATGACAATTCCCTTGTTGTTTTGCAACAAAGCAATGTTACCTAACAAACAAAACGACAGCAACGCGCGCTGCTCGATCAACAAACGGTGTAGACGCTGTTCTAAAATTATCCGCCTGTGCTTTTTTGCTACGGGACTCTGCACATAATAATGACTCTAATCCCCTGAGCTCCTGTATCCAGAAGGACGTAAACCATGTTTCTATCATATTGGTATTGATTTGTACGCAGATACTATTTTCACAACGGTTCATACGGACGGTAGCATTGCTATTGCAAAGTCGGGAGCATTTTCGTGGTTCGCCCGCTCCCACAAGGACTTCTCCAGAGCACCCCCGTGGAAGCAACAAAGCGCTTATTCCCATATAGGCGATCCGCCCAGCGGCGCTCATACCCTGATAGGCGATAAAATACGCAAATGGCATACACTAGCTCATGACATATGGAGCACAAACGTCCACACCATATAGACCATAAAACGTCTCTCAACACGACGCCTTAACACAGAATGGCATGTCCTCCAGTACAGGTATCACGAATCATTAGCATCTGCCCCATCACGAGTGAAGGTGCCATAAGACCCACACCTGCCGCGCGGCGGATCACTGGCACGGTCCTGGCGCACTATCGCGCCGTCCACCGTCCATCGGGATCACTGACCTGACCGCGGGCAGACGCCGCGGCGCGCCCCCGCGGCGGGGTCACTGACCTGGTCGTGTACGCTGGCGTCGTCGTCGGTGCGCTTCTCAGCGGCCGGGTTGGCCGGGATGTTGAGCACGTTCCTCACCAGGATGAGGACGCGCTCGATCATGAGACGGTCGTCCTCCATCCTGTGCTCCCAGTCCTGACCAGACACGCGCCAGCCCATGTGATTCCGGCGGCACGCGACGCGCTTCGTCACTGACGAGCGAGCAAGCGTCGGCTCAAAAGACACACTTGCTAAAGGAAGGGTAGACATTGCTAAGGTGAAGAAAACTTGCATTTTTGGCGCAGAGCTGGCCAACACTCAAGGCTCTTATTTCAGCACATAGTCACATCTCTGAGACTGAGAGCACAGGTTTCATGTTTCTTACTGTTGATGAGGCACGGCCCTAGCACACTATGGTATCTGCTTCATTTTGGCATCGAACAAATGTGATTGATATATGATTACACAGATAAATAGGATAAATAGGATAAACTTTGGACCTTTCACCCAACAACTAACCTTCTCCAGAAGTGATGTCATCTTGGCAGCAAGTACAGACCAGAACACCTTGTCACTGAAAGCCTCTTTGTATGACTGCAGGTACTGGATCACCTCCAGGTAGAAGCGACGGGAGACCCTCTCTCCAGGGAGCTCCTCTTCATAGAGAATCAGTGCTGGAGTGGTCAAATTTACCAGGAGTCTGTAAGAGAGCATTGATGCATGATCATCACTTCTAACACTGAGGAGATATCAACACAAGAGGCATGGAGTAAACAGGGTTTTTCAAATGTGTGCAAGGCACAGGTTACATGCATGAAACTGCTACACTGCTTGATCACCTCCAATAATAGAAATGATTCTTACCTCTGAAGAGGCTCCGAGCAGGATGATAGTATGGGACGAAATATTGTGGTATGTTAAACACATGTGATGCATGGTAAAATAACATGTAGGTGTACCAAATGAACTATGCAATGAATTTTTCAGGAATCTCAGAATATAGGCACATCAAGTGTGAGTTAAAATAGCTTACCTCAGGGTGACATCCAACAATTCAGTATCATTGGAATGGTGTTTGATAATGGGGATCAAATCTTTCACAACCACCTTAGTTTCACCAAGGGCTCTTCGGATTTCATGGTTTTCATCATCTCTTCTCAAGAATCTCACCAGATCCTTCACACATTCTGAAAACATGTTTCAGTTTCTGAAAATGGGGCCTTCCACAAATAATGGATGCTGGTGTACATGATAATATACCAGGAAGGAAAATAGAAATCATCTATAATCATCAGCGTAAATCACCATCATCATCTAGAAATCATCTATAGAAAGGCTTTGACAAGTTAGGGTATCACTGCAAGCTGAAAGTCAATTGGGCCTTAAATGTATCAATATTACAACCATAGGCAGTCATGCTGAAGTCTGAAAATTCCAATAGATAATGGAACTGGTCTATCTTTAATTCTCATTGATACAGCAAGACAGTGGTCCAGATCATGAGGGCAAGCCATTCAATACAAATCAGACAACATGCATACACAATTCATACCAATGCACTCTGGCTCCTTCTGATATTTTCCAGTTGCATCATCCAGGTACCCAAGGCTGTTGCAGGTTGCTGACAGGTCAGCCATCAGCAGTGGATCAATAGTAAATGCAGCCATGGTAGGAAATTTTCTGAAAAAAGAATGAAGAGCATGTCTTGAACACATGCATAAACAGATATTCAATCATCTGTCTTGCCAAAGATATGCAACATCAGCATGACTGTCACTGATATGCTCTGGTAGGCATATGCCAAGCTGGGAAGATAATAGTCCAGATGTTACATGTTTCAAAAGATAAAGCATGCTATACCAATACAAAAAACAAAAAATGTTCTGAGTGTCAAGAAACCTGCTAACCATATAGCAAATATGCCAGTTCATTTCAGGCTTAAAGGTGATCAATACCTTCTTAAATTTGTTAATTGTGGAAATACAGAAGGAAAAAATATCCAACCATTGTGAAAACCTCCAAATACAAAAGGTGAATGACTTTGGGCGCACACATCTAACAGAACACTATTATGACTGTAATGTGAGATCTTTGAGCTCACTCAAAACAATTTTAACATTATTGGGTTCCCTACTTAATAACTTACATTATACGGGTTTACAGGCATTTTGCATTTGCAGATTCCCATTCACAGTAGATGCACCACAATGAATGGGCTAATTTCATACATCAGGAATAATGCAATGTATAAGAACCATGTACTGCCTCTGGAACAATAAATTGTACCTGGAACAATAACCTGTATCTGGAGCAATACACTATCTGGTACAAGCCACTATAGATGGAACAATACGCTGCGTCAACAGCGATACACAATATCACGAACAACGTGCTGTCAGGAACGATACAGGGTACTGGGAGCAACACACTAAATCAGGAACAATGTACTGGATCGGAAACAATATACTGCATCCCACACAGCAAACTGCATGGTGAACCTGACACTTGGTGACATATATCTGCTCAATAGTTTCCACATACCCAACCCGCAAGCCGCCTATATCCACCCACCCCAGCTCGCAGCGCACACGGAATCTACGCCACCTCAGCGAGCGGCCCAACAATTCCAATGTGACGCACCCAACAAGTGTTTTGTCTTTCCCGCCGTAATTCCGCGCGAAAACAATACAGGGCTGACCACTTATAGTTTACATTCCCGCTAGTGACAGCCTTAGGCCAATGAGAATACAGAACAAGGCGAGAAGAAATGCTAATTGCACCTAAGTTGACAGTGGAAGCCGAAATCGAAAACAGTGCGAAGTGAGCTGCCCGTAACCCGTGAAGTATCCCTTCACTAAATAGATAAAAGTATTGTAAAAGTCTTGACAGTGTCGCGGCGTCAGAAGCTGGGCAAACATGCCCTCGTTTCTTGGCTGTAATAGGCTCCCGAGACCCTGCAACATATTTGCAGTATTCCATGCGCGTAATTCTTGCGCTCAGGTGTGGGATGAGTGAACGTCTTCAGAGGCGGATCCAGGGGGGGGGGGGGGGGGGCAGGCCATATGCCCCCTTGGCTCTTGGGCCCCGACGGAGCCCATAGGCTCAGGCATAGGCATAAACATAGGCTCATAGCCGGCCGAACAGACGCAGTTTTTTAACACGAAACTCAACCAAATTTGACGTCTTTGGGCTTCCAGGCGACCAAGAGCAATCGTAAGCAAAGGTGAAAGGCCGACGAACAAACAACAGTAATTATTTGCCGACTGAGAGCGAGGCGATTTAAATTGCTTAAGGTCGTTACGTTGTCCAGATACGCTACGCTGTTTCTGGGGTCCTGCATATCTATTGCAGAGTAAACCAGATCGTGGAAAGGGCCTTACACGTCTGAATAGCTCTATATGCTATAGTCGGAACCCATATGTCAAACTGCCGGGGTATGCTAGGCTGCTCAGGGGCCCTCCCGTTAACCTACCGACACACTCGCGATATGCTTTTGGACCCTCTACATTGGTCTATGGCCCTTCCAATTCCCTATCACTCGCGAAGGACTACGCTCTTGTTGGGGACCGTCTGTTAACTAGCTCGGGCACACCCGATCGTTCGGAGCCCTCCACATTGGGTCTTGGGCACATTATTTTGATGGAGGGCCCTGCTCGTGTCAGGGGCTCCCATCTGTTAACCTCGCCTCGGGCACACTCGATTGTTCAGGGTCCCTGCACATTGGGTCTTGGGTACTTCCTACTTGAACGTAATGTCCTACCATAGTAGTGGGCGCTCTTAAGTGGGCGCTCTTAAGCGATCAAAGCCCTTCTACGGATTCTTCACATTCGTCCGAAAGGCTCCATGTGCTTTTTCCGGGGCCTCACGTGCCGGGGTGCATTCGGTTGGGCCCTTAAGAGCGCTTAATTAATATCGGGTTCTTTCCACCTGCCTGGAGGATCCTGTGTTTTTGCTAGGGCCATATAAGGTAACGCACCGAGACACTCGATGCTTAGGGGTTCTCCGCCTTGATCTAGGGCTATTTCCCATTGAGCTTACTTGCGGAGGACCCTTTACTCTTCTCAGGGCCCTTTGTTAACCCGCTCGGGCACTTTGGGTCGCAAGGGGGCATTAATTCGTGTACACGGGTCCTGGGTTATCCAGAGGGTCCTGCACTCTGGTCGGGCGCTTGAAGTTAGCCTGCCGGGGTACTCTCGATTGCTGAGGGGCCCCATCGTATTGGTCTTAGGCAAATCTCGCTTGCTCTGATAGCCCTATATTGTTGACGGAAGCCTTTTGGTTGGTCTGTCACAACACCCTCAATCACTCAGGTGCCGTCCCTATTCGTCTTGGGTTTTCCCGTATTATAGGAGAGCCTACGCCGTTGACGGGGATCTGAATATTGATCATAATGATTGGAGCTTTACGTCTCACCGAATTACAGGGACATTTCGAGAGGTACCATGCGGGAGGCGGTGTTGGCGTGGCCGGGGCCCGAGTCCCAGCCCAACATGCGGTGGTGGTGTGGCCGGGGCCGAGTCCCAGGCCGACAGGTCCACAGTCGAGCGCCTTAACCATTGTACCACCATCACTCCGGACCTGAATCTCAATCGGCCGGGGCACTCTTGATCGTTCTTGGGCCCTCCACATTGGTCGTGGGCTCTTCCGATGAAGTCAGAATGATCTTTTATTTTGGCGAAAGCTCCACGTATGCTCGCGTACGCCAGGGTGTTTCACCGGGCGTTTCACCGGTGTGTACGGGCCTGACAGGATTTTATTACTTCGCGTGCACAAGTCCAAAACCACAGGATGGCGATTTCCCTCGGTGTTTTCCCTCTGAGCCTTTGAGCAGCAGTCGGATATGCGCGCCGTCAAGTTTTGCGTGTAATTGTCCAACATTATTTTACGCGCCACTGACGTTGTGCATGTCATTTCCGTTAGTTATTGAATTTTCAACACTTGATATGCTGTTGCTCCACGTTTCTAATGCATTTTGAATGCTAGGATATTTTACACTCGTTCATAGCAGTAAAAAAGAACGCTACTCTGGACATCAGCCATCAGCTGATCACATCGACTGGTCGGCTAGTCGAACATAAGCTAGGAATCAAGTTCGTGCTTGATTTTGATGGTATTTAGTAGCCATCTTAATAGCATTTGCCTTGTTTTCTCCGAGACACTTAGTCTCAAAATAACAGGGTCCACCACGATCTGGAGAGAATGAACAAATTCCATGCATTTACATTCCTAGCACGCCTAGTTTTCAAGGGCCGTGCACAAAAAGATGGGTTCCTGTATAAAATAGGATACATTATAATGTTATAATTAAACGGCTGGAGTACGAATTTTTTTGGGAGGGAACCTAAATTCCAGTAAAGCTCTACGGTGTTGCGTGCCCCCTTCCACCACCTCCACCCTTGTCAATGTCAGTGTGACGATCGAACTGGCTGACGCACTCGCTCGTCGCTCGCTCGTGGTGAAAAAGACCGTGCGTAATGCATCGTCTTGCGACCATGGTATCAGTATGTATGTTCTGTCAGAGGTGTCGTTTCCTTTTCAGTTGAAGGGATCCAGCCCACCGCCCAACTCCCGACTTTGAGGAGAAAGCAGGTCCATGCCTTGGAGAAGCGCGACTATGTTGGTCTATTTCCGGGGTAAGCTTAGCCTTCTTTCATACTCAGATCCCAACCCATCCTGCGGCCTTTCACCTGTTTACACTTCGACGGTGCCCATGGATCCTGATGGTTGCAGCGCGACAGTGCGTAAAATACAGCTGGCATGGCATACATACAGCCGGGAGCCTGGGCCGGTGGGTCAGCGCATTAAACGATGCCGACTCACTTTAAACCACCATTCTGAGAAGTGGCCGAATGGTTTTCAGCCAGCTCTTTTGGGTTTCCCATAAACAATGCTGAGTTTAGTCACCCGATGTATTCCGCTCAGATGCCAGATGACTTTCATTGTTCGACGATGGCTCATCTATCGTAACTCTTGGTAAAGGCCGCAAGGGCACTTACGCACCATCTCCGCTCCGACATATCCCCACGGATCTCAGGCGCACCGTTTCGGCATTCTTCTGAGAAGCCGACTCGCATGCTTTCGCCCACGCATCCCGGCTGCCTCAGCGGCGAAGCGGGAAACAGGAAACACCGCTCGGCGCACGGGAAGCCCCACGCTGCACCTGCCCTCGGGCCACCGATGACCTTGGCGCCGGGCCGAGATGACCGCTGATCGGGCCTTTTTATCTCGGCGGGCCTCGACCTTGACGGATGACGCCGCGCGTAAGCTTCGGAGGAGCGGCGGCGGATGCCGAGCCACAACCGGGGAGTGGGTGACGCCGGCTGGTCGGGGCTGCGCTCTCCTGGCGACCTGTTCTCCAGAATGGGGCGCCTGCCGACGCTGCCGACGCTGCTGCTCCTGCTGCTGCTGCTGACATATTCCGGACATGGACAGAATCCGTTCAAAGGTGGGTTCCGTGGAATGTGCCGGGTTGCTTGGAACAGCCGGAGTTGCCGGGGTGCGCACGGCAGCCAGCTCACGGGCCTGATTAAGGTTCCGTTTGATATAAGATGCGGGCTCGTGGTTCGTATCTGATGTTGCTGTAGGTACCACCACTTCCCCCCCCCCCCCGGTCCCCCTCCGCGCAGCGTCGCTTAACTATTTCCCATCGTCTATGCTGTGATGTACTGTACGACACGTATCGAAATCATGAGGGCAGTTCGGTGTCGTAGCGACACAAAACCATTGCCGTTTGACGGAGGAGAGAACCTGAAATCGTCGTGGCAAGAATTGGACGCTGTATGCGCAACCGGACAATTGTCCACGAGGATAAACCATGTATTCGTCCGCGTTCGAAAGATTTTGAGCATCACTGTCAAATTTCGGCAACTGATGCGGATACCTACACGCACGCTGTTGCGAGCAATGCGCAGGTATAAACGTACGTGGACGCTGCACGCTGTTGAAGGCATCATGTACGGATCATAACATGCCTATATTGGCCGTATATATATATATATATATATATATATATATATATATATATGCGAGCGATGTACGGTCAGAGACGAACACGAAGACATAGCTGGCGCCAATAGGCCATTGCGCGAATGCGGAGTGCGCCCCGCGTGTTCAAGTCTCCGGTTCATCCGCTTCAGATGCACGGCTGCGGAGGAACGGGTGAACAGGCACTGCGCTCACTGACACCGACTCACTGACAGCAAATATGTCCACGATACGACATACTGCCGAAGGATGTACATAGTCGGTTCTCCATCTCTTTTTAAAAAAAAATACGCGCTGCTGGCTTCGTTTTCCACAATTCGTTTCCCCCGAAGATCGTTTGAAAACATTTGCTCCTAATGTTCTTATCGTGACTCGTGAGCCTGATTGTTCTAGTTCATGTTCGAATTGTGGACATGGTGCATGAGTGCTGGTTAGTATTTCAAACAGTTAATAGAAATTAGACGCATATTTGTTGCCAGGAAAAGTAGTTGAAACACCAACACAACAACAGCAGCCAGCATTGCGCTCATACACCAGGATCGGTCACATCCGGCTGGCTAAGTGCATCGAGTTCACTGGGAGCTGGCACCTCGAGACACCAGGACACATCCGACCTAATCGATGCACGCACGCACCACACGTGCGCTGGTACTCTAGCCGTAGGTTTTGACAGTCGCGAACTTACACTCGTCTACCACGCAGGCCTGTTCGGAGGACGGCAGGGCGGCGGGGGCGGCTTCAACCTGGGAGGCTTTCTGAAGTTCGCCGCCGACGAGACGGTGAAGGCAGTCACCAACCAGGGGCAGCAGTCTCAGGACGGCCAGCTGAGGCTCGTCAACCCTGTGAACGCCTTCAACGCCGCGCTGGGCCAGAACTCGAACCAGCGGTACAGCATCGGCACGCCGTTCGGCGAGTTCAAGATCGGCGGAGGCCAGCGGCAGACGACCTCTTCGCCGGCTCCTACGGCAGCTACAGCGGCGACGCGACCTACGTCAGCACCAACCGCAGGTCAGCTGACACATGTAAGGGGGGGGAGAGATCTGCATGCTGTTAGTAACCACCTGGCAGTCGAAGTATGGGGTACGCACATGCTCGGCTGGCTTCCAAGGACAGTGGTGCATAACTGATGAATCACAGGAATTTTGCAAGTTTTAAGTACCACGGACGGTGTCTTGATCCGATTAGCACAATGTAATTAATGCGGCACTTATGAATGACCGATTCAGTTTTCACGCACGACACTTCGTTGTTTGTTGGTTGTTTTGATTAGAACCCTTTCGGCCAGCCGTGACTATTTCATGGCTATAGGACGAAGGAGAGTGGGTAGCGATGAGGTAGAACTACATGCATCTGAGGTGTATCTACCGAGGCTAAGCTAACACAGGGACTCCTCTTCGGGGTTTGCGCTCGGTGCTCGGACACGACCCCAACCAGGGGGCACTTGGGCCCACTGATGGCTGGTGCCTGCAACCTGCCTCGGACGAACGAGGTGTCGCAAGGATGCAGTATGAAGCAAGAATGCGAAGAGCAGGGTGGGTGGACCCAAGTGGTGATGGGACTTGCCATCATTATAGCGTTTATGATAACTAGCCGCCTGCTAACGTGCCAGCACTAGCAGAACTCTACTCAATCGATCTGACACCATCAGTGGAATAGGGCGCACCGACTGTCGCGCTGGGGTGGATGTACGTGGCCTCTCTTACTGACCGACCAAGCGTCGCCGGCGCTGGCGTCGATCCAACAGTCGGTGACGTCACGTCGACATGTCCCCAGCCCCGGCCACCAGCCCGTGCAGAGGTCGCCGCTGTCGCCCCCAGCCTTCAGGCGGCACTTCTCCCGTTCAGCTGTTCCAAGGTCAGCGCTTGCCACGCGCATCGAGCGGCGCATCAGTGTCCCGCTATGTTCGCAAAACCCAGCCTGTGTTATAAAAGGCTGGACAACGCGTCAGTGTCCTGCTGTGTCCGCGGAACCCAGTCTGTGATATGAAAGGTTGGAACTCTGACAGGTCACCTGGGGCTGTTTGAGAGCATGCTCCTGGAAGAGCCCACTGGCCTCACGATAGCCCGTCGTTGCCGTTGGAGCTTTACGACGCACTCCGCTGCTGATGCTAAATGACGTCACCTGCCGCCTACCCTGGCAGGCAGGGCGGTTACAATAGCCTGTGGTCAGATCAGGTCAGGTCATGTCAGGTCAGATCTCGTATCAGTGTAGGCGAAACACATTCACCGAGAGGACGACAGCTGCCATGTCACAAACGGCTTCCTGTCTGTCCAGGCTGCGGCATCAACCGCCGTAACCTGGCCACTCGGATCGTGGGAGGACAAGCGGCCGACCCGCGGGCCTGGCCCTGGATGGTGGCCCTGCTGCGCGGCACGCCCGGCTTCTTCTGCGGCGGAGTGCTCATCTCCCAGTGGCACGTTCTCACCGCGGCACACTGCGTGCAGAGGTGAGTGGCAGTGTGCTGATAATCTCCGCTCAGCACGTTCTCACCGCGGCACACTGTGTGCAGAGGCGAGTGGGAGTGTGCTGATAATATCCGCTCAGCATGTGCTAACCGCGGCACACTGCGTGCAGAGGCGAGTGGGAGTGTGCTGACAATCTCCGCTCACCACGTGTTGGCCGCGGCACACTGCGTGCAGAGGTGAGTAGCAGTGTGCTGGTAATCTCCGCTCAGCACGTTCTCACAGCGGCACACTGCGTGCAGAGGTGAGTGGGAGTGTGCTGATAATTTCCGCTCAGCACGTGCTAGCCGCGGCGGACTGCGTGCAGAGGCATGTGGGCGCATGCTTGTACCGCCGATTGTTTCCCCTGGGCACTTGCTGCCCGCGGTACGCTGGAAGTTTTTGAACACGCGAATATCAGCTGAAACCTCGTCGGCACGCGGGCTTTTGTGCTACTGTGCATAACTGTGCACGTTGTGCACAGACTGCCAGCTCTCTCAACCATTGCGCCATGAGGACAGCCCCACCATGGGCTGCAGTTTGCCCCCCCCCCCCCCTCATGGTCTGCTGTTTGCCCCCTTCCCTCTAGCCTGAGCGTTTCGTCTTCCGCCGCCCTCTGGTTCCGTGCCGTTCCCGCCGTCTCCCCGATCACCAAACATCGCTCGTCCCCGGAGCCGGCCGTGACGCCCCCCCCCCCCCCTCCGCCCGCAGGTTCCGTCTGCGGGAGGTGCGGGTCCGCCTCGGGGTGTACGACTTCAGCAACGACACGGAGGTGGCGGGTGAGCCGCTGGGCCGAATGGTCGTGCACCCGCGGTACGACCCAGTCCGCTACCGCAACGACGTGGCTGTGCTCACGCTGGCGCGGCCAGCGCAGCTGAGCGACGACGTGTGGCCCATCTGTCTACCCGAGCCGGGCCTGGACTTCCAGAACGTCAGGGCGACGGTGATAGGTGAGAGGGCCACGACCACGAGCGTGTCAGGAACGGCGGCAGCAGGCGGAGGCCAGTCCGTCATCGGTCTGCCTGGTGTTTAAGAATTTGGACCCACCCAAACCAACCAATGAGGACAGCCTCTTGGAGCAAGCGTGACTAACAAGCAGACAACCTGCTAGTCATGCCCCGCGAAGCATCCCCCGAACACGTGCCCGCGCGCAGCAGCTGAGCGCACCGGCCCGCTTTTCAGGGTGGGGTACCATCTACCCGGGCGGGCCGACCAGCAGCGTGCTGCGCCAGCTGACCATCCCCGTCTGGAGCCAGCAGGAGTGCGACACCGCCTACCCGCAGCTCATCGACGACGTGTTCCTGTGCGCCGGCGGCCGGCAGGGCGGCCGCGACGCCTGTCAGGTAACCGCCGCCCGCCAGAGCGCGCCGCGGCCAGGCGGCTGCGGCTGCTGCAGTGCTACGGTCAGGGGCAGGTGGCGAAATGACATTCCTCGTCTCAAAATAAGTGCTTGCACGAAAAGCTTTGGCCTCTGAGAGCATACCAAATGGTGTTTTTTTACGCTGTACGCAGCAGCCAAGTACGCAGCTCGCAGCACGCTGTACGCAGAAGCCAAGGGCCGAGCTTCAGTTGAACTCTTCCATGCGTGCTTGATAAGCCGATCACTGATCTGGCGAGTGTTGATCGGGGCCGCTCGAATGTGCTGCCACCTTGCGGCTAGACGCCCTTTGGAGCGGCTCGTCTGCCGTCTGTATACGGCAGACAGGCTCCTGGGGAGGTACGCGCGGGCGCCACTGCCGTCATTTCGTAGTGCGCCGACTCGCTGTTCCACGTGGTACGTGGGAACGAGTATGACATGGTCCTGATAAGAAAAACGTAGGGCGCTGTTTCGCTGCGTGACAACTCGGCGGCCCGTGAGCGCTTGTGACGGTCCTGCCGTTGGAGAATAACACTGCCCCCCACTTTCCCTGGCCAGGGCGACTCGGGCGGCCCGCTGCAGCACATGCGGTCAGACGGCTCGTGGAGCGTCATCGGCCTCGTCTCCTGGGGCAAGAGGTGCGCCGAGGTCGGCTTCCCGGGCGTCTACACGCGCGTCACGCGCATGCTCCGCTGGATCCTCCGCAACACGGCCTGAGGCGCTCCCGCTGAGATCGCCCAGGCGGACGCGCGGACTCTGCCGGGACAGGCCGCGTCACGCACCAGTCTCGCTGCACGCTGCTCCACGGCCAGATGACCAGACCAGACACCGTTGTGCTGGCGTCGGTGACGCTGCAGCTGATACAGAGTGCCCTGGGAACTGTTTGTGTTCGGGTCGGAAGCCTGCAAGTTACGTCCCGCCGGGAAGTTCGCATGTGACAGCCCTGCCCTCGCCACTAGCACGGTCTGGCTCAGCTTCGGGTCGGCACATTTCTGTCAAACGGGTGACATCTTGAAGTTGCATGCCTCGCCGGCTGGGCTGTCTGGTTGTTTAAAGCATTTCGGGCGTGCTGACTTGTTATTTGTTTAGCTGTTTTCGCGTAGATGCCAGAGAATCTCTAACCGAGGTGAAAGCGGAATGCTGGCTGCTAGTTTGGTATGGTCATGACTACATATTAGAAATACACCACGCAATCGGCCAATTGCACGTGTCTGACCGAGGATTCTACCTTTACCACTAACCCGCCTCTCATCACGGAAAATACCGTATTTTGGCGTGTCATCATTGCAATCAACGGAACCCCCGACGAGAAGACCCTCTGTGATTGAGACTCGAGCCATACGCGCTGATTGATTGGCAGTCAACAATTGTTTGTTTTATTAAACCACTTAAGATTTGTTTCAGCCACTTGCTTAAGCCGTTCTGGGGTTTGCTGACGCTCGCACGGCCTCCGCCTGAAGTCGGGGCATCGTTTGCTCCTTAGAACCAAGACAGTTTTTCATCGCTTTGCGCCTTAAGATAATTTCAACGTGTTCATGCGTTGTAACGAGCCGGGCGGGCATCTAGAGTAGACAGTTGCTCCCCACCTCCAACCACCGACAGCTTGCATCAAACAGCGCAGTTAACAGGCGGTCTGCAACATTGGCGCGTCTTCGGCTGCAGAATGTCTGCCCGCTCGGATGAGGCCATGGACTACCTACAGAAGCATAAAATACCTACTCTCGTGGAAAACCTCGTTGGCAAACTCGTCTTTCATCAACCAGGTCAGTAGTCTGCGCTTTTATACGCCTATTCCAAACGCTGCATGTCATTCTGGGAACACGCGATATAACGTATTGCCCCCCCCCCCCCCGCCCCGCCCACCTGCACATAATCGAATCAGATCTCCACTGCTCTTTTATCAAAGCCGGCTCAGTCCGCTCCAAAACTCCAAACATGATCTAGGTGACAGCGTGGCATAACCTCCCGCGCATACGACCTACGCTGCCACGTGCGTGCCATTGGCCCTCCCACAGAGAACCCTACCTCCTTCCTGGTATCGGAGCTGGAGAAACTGATCAAGCTGCGCTCCAACACGGAACAGGACGCGCCGAGCCTCTTCACAGACGAGAACATTGTGGCCCTCTTCGAGCAGTACGACGTTAACCGCACTGGCGTCATCTCGGCCAAGCAGTACAGCGACGGTACCGTCCGCTCAGCAGCGGGAATGGGGGCGGGGGGGAGGGAGGGGGACGGAACCACACGGGTGCCACTGCCAGCGGTACCGTCCCCCCACCAGCAAGAACGGGACGGCACAACCACCCGGGGAGGGAGCACTGTCGACGGTACCATCCCTTCACCAGCGAGAACTGGAGGGCGGAACCACACGGGGAGGGAAGTCTGTCGGCGGTACCGTCCCCTCACCATCGAGAACGGGAGGGCGGAACCACACGGGTGCCACTGCCAGCGATACCGTCCCCCCACCAGCGAGAACGGGACGGCACAACCACCCGGGACCACCGTCGAGTGAAGCCCGTCTGTTAGTTCGTCGACCGCCCTGAAAGCATGAGTTGGTGACACATTGAGCGGAACCTGTTACGCAAACCACGCCCACACCGCCCCAGGGGCAGGCCCAGTCCAGCACCACTTCAGCACCGGCTGAGAAGTATCGATGCATCTGTATCATATCACGCCAGCACGACGAGGCGCTCGCCCCACGCTACGGTCGCTGTGTAACCCCTTCTCCGCGCTGCCGAGCGAGGGAGTTTGTCGACAATGCAGTTCACGTGCATCTGTATCGGATCATGTTACACTGGCCGCCGAGTCGATGAGAATACGTGGCAGGAGTTGTAATCGCAGCGTGTTTACAGCCTTCAAGACGCTCAGTCTACCACTCACAGTGACACCGGAGGTCCACTGTACCAAAGCCCAGTTTCTGGATGACGTGTGAGTACGTTGTATCGTGCCAAGACCAAGATTTTCTTGTGAATACGGGTGAGGGCTTGACGGAACCATTTTGCGAATTGTTCAGTTCAATTCGTCAGAATACGATTCTTGAATAGCACAAATTGATATTTCACAGCTTACATCATGTACAAGATGTACGTTGCATTACAATTATGGAATGGTATCGCTACATCGGTGCAGTGTCTCGTTATCAAACGGCGTCTGTTAAGTGTAACCTTCAGTGATTAGCTAATGGTGTCTGGTTTGCGCAAGTCGCTTTGCATCATTCCACCTGCCGATCGCAGTTCCTTCCACATCTCCAATTTCGGCTTAAGAAACAGGTTCTCATACCAGAACTTTGTCATATTTCGTAACAACACTCTTCGGTCTCACCCCACGTGACTTACACATACGGTATTGCACACGGTACAATAACACAGGTCACGGTCATCGAACAACGGCCGTGGTGTACACCAGATAAAACAGAGATGAACTGAAATTACTGCCGCATAAGCCGCGCAGGCAGAGGGATACCGGAACAATAGTTCGCAGAGTGAACAAAACATACCATGACAGAGGGGAGAATAAATACTGATGTATTCGAACAACGGTGAACAAACTCCAGCCGTCATTCTTGTTTTTGCAGGCGGGCCAGTCTAAAACTGAAGGCGTGCGCCTTCTACTAGCGGAGAGCAGGTCGGACCTAGGCAGTGGCATGGCCCCTGAAACACGGAAGCTTCCATCAGCGACAGCACACGGTTGCCGACGCACTAACGACGCGTCCAGTGTTCCCGTCAGCGGCTGTGGACGCGGTTATGGTATCCCTAAATACATGCTGTTGCGCAAAGGTCATTCTCACAATGTCGTGACCATAATCATCTATCAGATCTTCCAGCGTTACTTGCAATGCACTTGCAATGAACGCCCTTATCGCTTAAAAAACGAAGTGTAGATCGAGTTCGCATTGATGGTTGTCGAATTGTAGCAGTCAAATGTAGATGGCGTGAAACGTTGGTAAATATTTTCAAGGGTTTTTGAAAAAGTCCTGTAATCACACTTAGCTTCTGTGTGACTTGAACCTTATACCTTCTGTTTAAAAAAAAACAGGTTTGATTTAACACATGCCGTCCCATATAGCTGAAAGGAAGTCGGTGGAGTCCCAATATCTCCACATTTTTCAAAGCATAAATAGGTGACAGCGATTCATGCAGTATCCACCCTGAAGGTACCGATAATGTAGTAATAAAGCTGCGCATCTGTGAAACCAGCAACGCGGGGTTCAATTCCCCGCCGTGCCCGCCCTTCCTGCTAGAGTTAGGCAGTTAGTAGAAGTATTGGGGCTTTCGGGCGCTGCGATTGCGCGATCATATGGCGCCCATAAACTATGTCCACATCAAAATTGTTTCAAACATTTCAAAACGGGCTGTTGTGTGGCGTAAACTATTTGAATCGGTATATACATATATATATATATATATATATATATATATATATATATATATAAATTTAAGAAGTGCTTGATGTGTTTTTTTTTACTCGGCAATGTATTTGAAAATACACTGCCGAGTGAATCGGAGAGCGTGCCAGACGGTGCAGTCGGACCGAAGCGCCGCAGGCGTTCAACACGGGACAATGCGGGACAAGAAACGAACACCAAGCGCACATTAAGCGTTGTGTTAAATTAACGGCATCGAGGTGGTTCATCGTGAAAAAGGGATCTATGGCGGGCGTAAACATGGCCGATCCACGAACGCCTTAGCATGACTCCCTCCCGTCCAGACTTCCGATAGCGAGACTACTAGTCCTAGATAACCGCTAAAGGATTTTCCCTTTGCTGGTGCCCACCGCATACCATTACCAACGGCTTCGTGAAACAGACGACTTGGCGGGGATACCCAAAAGCCCTTAACAGGCATTGGATACGCCCTCGTGCATGGACGAACCGCACGAGGCAGGCAATGCCAGATAGCGGCACCGGTAGTGACGTGGTTGAGCTGAGCGTTGGCAAACCAGAGGTGGGGGTTGGATTCTCCGCGGTGCTCACCCTTCCTGCCAGGGTGAGAGGCAGGCAAATCCAAAAGGCCTCAGCAGGTGAGTGCGTCGTTAAGCCCCCCATGAGGGCCCAGTAACCGTCCTAATGGCGTTTTAAGTCCACGTATTGCTATGCCTACAGATACAACTGTCTAAGAATCGGCACCTTCCACGGCTCGCACGAGTATGATACCCACCAGCTTGCAGGTAGTTCCCACCCGGAATCCAGTTAGTTTGGCACATGGGTATGCCACGTCACATGTTGCCCCAAGCGACACAACACCAGACCTCCCGGCACTCGTCGCTTTCACATTGCACCAAGAAGCGCAAGTCTATCAAAAGCTCATTTAAATCCGGCAGCAGGGAAGCTCGTGGTGTAAGAGCAGCGAAGCTTTGCGCAGTTTACCTTCCAAACCTACCATCTCGGAAACCCCGCCGATCGGCTTGTGAGACACACAAAGACGACAGCCGTCTGAACTTCCGAGGCCAGGACATGTCCCATCTGCAGACGCATTCGCATCAACACACAGCAACACTGTCAGTTCAGTGCACAAGTTCCGGCTATGAGGGTGACCCCGACTCGCGAGCCGGCCTCCAGCCGGAGACGGCGCGGCGCGGCGCGGCGCGGCTCGCAGACGCTGCCGGGACACGGAGACGCCACTCACCACCGGGCGGCGCGCGTGTTCTCCTTGATGTCGTCGATGATGAACTGCACCACGTTGGTGGTGGTCTGGTTGCCGCCGGCATCTGCGGCGTGTGCGCTGACGTCACTAGACCGGTCCACTCGCCCGACCGTGTCGGACCCACAGTATCAGCAACGCACGGTGTCCGACGCACCATACAATGAGGCGGTGATGACGTATTGAAGGGAACACGGCACACACCGTCGCACGTCCTTTATGGACCGTGGACGCATCAAAGCCCACGGGTCAAAACCGGACCCCACGTGGGAGTTCTTGATCCTGTTCTGGCGATACTTACGATTAGCGAATTGGTCACATTTTGTGCCAGGACAGATAAGTGAAGCAAGAACCACATCTACAACCACCAAGTTTTGGCTTTCTGCATCACTCCACCTGGTGGAGCGAAGGAGGTGGCCTCAGACACGGGCCGGTAGAAAATGAAGAGAAGCACAGCCCTGCCACACTCCCAACTAAGTATCCTGTTCAGGAGTACCGAAAAGGGCTGGCTCCTGGTAACGTCTCTCACGCCACCACCAGAGCGACAGACTCCCGTCTCACCACCCTCAGAGACCAGCTGCCCAGCTGCTGCCCCGACCGTCGAGCCGGCGCCGCTGACCTGGCGTGGTGATCCTCTCGCAGATGGCGCGCTCCACCGCCTGCCGGATCAGCTGCTCGTGCTGATGCAGGCCCAGGTGGCCGAGCATGTCGCAGCCGGCGTTCAGCATCGCCAACGGGTTGGCGATATTCTTGCCGACCATGGCGCTGCCCGTGTTGCGCGTGCCCGGCTCAAACACCGCGTACTGCGGGGAAACGGGCAGGACCCGTGTCATCGCGGCTGGCGGGGCGGCGGCGAGGCAGATACAGCGTACTGAGGGGAGACGGGCAGGGACAGTATCATCGCGGCTGAAGGGCGGCGAGGATGACATGGCGTACTGCGGGGAGGTAGGAACAGGAGCTTGTCATGGCGGCCAAACGGAGAAATAGAAGCACACGATGCAGGGACAGATCCCGACGTGGCGCCAGCCAAGGGAGGGGGATTCAGCGCACCGTGGAGAGGCAAGCAGGGCCGTATCACGGCGGCAGCCCAATGTAGGGGATGTTTGTTGTCGATTGGAGTTTTAGGGCGCCGACCACTGTGGTCATTTTGCGCCCACCAGTGTAGGGAATGTAAAAAGGACGGCAAGCAAGTGGGATGGAGGTGGAAATGCACGCACACATCACCCGAGCAAAATCGGAAAAAGACACGACACAAAAGACAGAACACAAGTCCATGGCAGAGCTATGCGAACGTGTGCAGGTGTCGACCCTCGCCTCCTAACCTGTACACTGGGCCACAACCTGGCACGCGAACCAAAGCAGGGAAGAGCGAGGCAGGGCGAAGGCAGCTAACCTTGGCGCCGTAATTTTTGCCGGACATGATGCCGGGCCCGCCGGCCAGACCGCAGGCCACGTTCGACACGACCGTGCCGTACAGGTTGGGCATGACCATGACGTCGAACTGCTCGGGTCGCGACACCATCTGCATGCAGCAGTTGTCGACGATCATGCCGCTGAACTCGAGTGACGGGTAGCTCTTGGCGACTCGCTTCATCGTCTCGAGGAACAGGCCGTCCGACAGCTTCCTGGGGGAAGGGGACGCGCCACTGTGACACACCCGAAGAAGCCCGGCAGAAGGCTGAGAGGCTGGAGACCGCCAGCCCACCGGAGACGGCCCGGCGTCTCCTGGCATTACGTTCGGACAATAGTACTCTGTCTGCTCTGCGCGATGTGCCCGCACTGTCGAAAGCAGCAACACAACATTAGGAGACCAAAACAGGGCCGCAAGCACGAACGGCTTCGGATGTACGGCTGGCGAATGGCCCAGGCTCTCGCACGCCACTCACATGATGTTGGCCTTGTGGATGGCGGTCACCTTCTTGCGGCCCTGCTCCAGAGCGTAGTCGAAGGTGAAGCGCGCCAACCGCTCGCAGTTGGACAGCGTGATCACCTTCAGGCTCTCGATCACGCCCGGCACGTTCTGGCGGAGGAGACGGCGGCACGGTGGGTGAGACGCGCGCCTTCGCGGGAGGCACGGGCTAGGAGGCTCGGTCTCATCACCCAGCCCCGACGGATCGGTCACCTCCAACAGGTCACTGTACACTTCCGTCATCAGGTGCTGGAGGCACGGGCCAGGAGGCTCGGTGTCATCACCCAGCTCCGACAGATCGGCCACCTCCAACTGGTCACTCTACGCTTCCACCATCAGGTGCTGGCCGAAACATATCTCTCAGACTGACTTTCAGCTATTCAGCATTTGTGATGGGCACCGTACTGAACATCGCAATAAGAAAATCAGGTTACGCTTTTAACAATGTCCACATTCACTTCGTGGACGCGGGCATACCACTACCACGCGAAGACGACACTGTGAGGTGTCGTCTTCGCCTAACGCCGCCAGGCTCACGTCCGAACCACCCAGCACTGGCCACAACAGCCAACGGCGCCGCGCCGCGCCCACCCACCTCGTGCTCCATCATGGCGTACTCGCCCTCCGTGTTCTGACGCACGATCACGATGTCGATCTCCGGGTGGCGCGTGGGCACGGTCGGGTGCGACCGGCAGTGCAGCACGTACGCGAACAGGTCCAGCTGGTTGCGCAGCTCCACGTTGTGCGACATGGTGCCCGGCTGGTTGCTGCGCGACTCGATATTGCCTGCGGAGGAGGGCGAGGTCAGGTCCCGGGTCTTTGCACCACTGTTCGACGGCCATGGTAAATGACCTCACGCAATGGCAGGGATCGTGCGGAAGACATGCGGTTGGTGCCAGGTCCGCCGGATCACGGACGTAAATCTATACAGAAGCGTCGTGCCGTAACTGACTCGGAAAAATACTGTCGCTGAACGATCGCTGTTTTGCTTCATCCTGACAGCAATCAGCACATCACCTACGACCCTAACCATTCCCACGAAGCTACGCACCAGGCTGCTGTCCCCATCGAGCCAGGCGCGACCTCCACCCCCCGGACGGGGGCCCCGGGTATGAG